GGAGATATTTTATATTAATGCAATGCAACTGGGGTGGGGAGAAAATGCAAAAGAGAGGAAGATATTTTTAAACCAGTCTTACAGGCTGCAGGGTCCTGACTGGAGTGTCAATTCTACTTGAATAGAATGAAACCAAGAGGAGACCCCATTTATACATTTATGCAAGTTTAATCGTAAAGACAGATGTTCCTAAGAATAACTTTGACCAGTCTCCTTACCTGAACCACTACCAAACAAACAAGGTGGTTTTGAATTTATGCAAAGTGTCTTTTTTTCTGATCAATCACAACCAGTTTTTGCTCTTTTATTCATGTGATTTAGTAATTTTAAAAAATTGAGTTACCTTTTTGTATCTCTTTTCTGCAATAGCATCAGTGTTTTTATTTTATGTGGTTGACTTCAGAGGAATTTACAGTGAAAAGGTGGGTCTGATGTGTTATCTCTCTCAAATAACATTTTAAAATCGTAGTGGCTCAATACTAGATGAAAGGACCTGATATTTTGCATAAATGAAGGAATCTTCGGGAAACTCTACTGTCCAGTCCGCTGAAATCTGGAAGGGTTTCATCTTTCCTGGTGCTTATCTCCCTTTCCCTGACAGCATCATGGCCAGGATCACTTTAAAAGGCAAACAAATGTAGTGTTCAGTGTGTGCAGAGAATTCAGGTTAGAGGTGCTGAGGCTCAGGCTTGAGATTGAGGTGGGGAGTGATTGTCTGCACAGCAGTGATTCAGCCTTTCTCATCTCACTGTAGCTCAGAGCAGACAGGAGTCTGATAAGAAAGTGAACATGATCAGTGGCTTCATCTTGGCCATCCCTGGGCAAAAACCAATCTGACATCTGAGACTTCTGACAAATCAAAGAAATCAAAGAAGCAGAGGGCTCTGGTTCTGCCTGGGCTATGCAGAGCCTTGAAGAGGCTCCAGCTGATAATGACATTTGTTAGAGCCACTTTCTCCTCAGGAGCTGTGAGGAGTTGGATTTTTCAGAGCAGTTTCTCCTCCCTGCCATACCCACATTAAAAGCTTAGAGCTAAAAGCCCCGGGGGCTTTTTCCCAAGAGTCCTTAAGGAATTCATGATCCAGATGGCATCAGTAATTCTGGGCTTTACAGGAGAGGTCTCCTCTCTGCAGAGAGTTTTTTGTAAACAGTTCATAAAAGAACGGGATGAAAGAGTTAACTAAGAGAAGTGGACCATCCAGTGAGGAAAAGCTTAGGTGCAGTGTTTAAGTTCTCCAGCTCAACCCCTCGGTTTTTATCTTTGCTTCTTGGTGAAGGAGCCCTCAAGGTACAGTACATAGCAGCCACGGGCTCTTGGAAGGAGATAGACAAACAGGTCCCACCCAAACTAAAGCTGCTGAACGTCTGAAATCTTATCTTAACAGCACTCATCACATTTTATGTTTGGGTCACTTGTTCTGCTGGCTGGCCACACCTGAGTTTATCTTGTTTAATCTCCACCGTCTCTGGAAAGGCTTTTTGGGAGAGGGAAACCTTAAAGAACCAGGGACACCCTCGGAGTAGTTAAATCTGCACTGACTGTGTTGTCCCTTTGCAGCCTGGTGAGCACAGGGGGAGGCTGCACCTACAGACCAGGCTGTGCATTTGTGTTTGCTCTCTTACCTGGTTTCTTGAGAGCAATCTAGGCAGGGGAAACCCACCACTGACTTAGGCAGCAGCACTGCAGGGACACCATCACCTGCTGTGAGTAACCCCGACCTTTCTGCAAGCAAGGGGAGAATGGCTTTATTTGGAAATTCGAGCTGAAAGGAGATTTAGTCATTCTGCTTCATTTGGACTGAGATTTAGGCATAACGAGGGCAAAAATGGTGCCAGTTTTGCTGTCTTTTCAGTGCTGAGCTGGAAACTACTTTCCTGTTGTCAGCAGAGGGCTTGATATTGGCAAGGAGAAGGGAGCAGGGGCTGAGCTATCCGTGCTTGGCTCCCTGGAATAAAACTCCAGGGATGCAGAAGAAAGGGGCCTATGATTTAATCCCTTTTACTGGCCTAAGCTTGTTTCAAGGTAGTATTCACTGTGCCTTGTCTGGTAGTCTCTTGCCCATATCATAGCAGATGTGTTTTGGTATTGGAATTGACCTCTCCTTGTCAGTCTGTCTTTGGGGATGCACCTCATCATACCACATCTGAGCCTGCCTCTTGCCTAGGTGAAATCCCACCTCTTCTTTTATCCCAAACTCTGCCAACCAGCTGGTGATGTTGCTGGTTGAAAAGTTCAAAGGTACCACGAGAAAGCTTGAATAATTAATGCCACTTTCCTTCCATATACCTGTAATCATCTGCTGCTGGGACGCAGCCCAGCCAGAATCCATGTCAGACTCCACAGCTGGGAAGGCTTGCAAGGAGGCTGGAACAGACTCTGGGCTGCATGGAAACAAGGCACAGGAGAAGGAATATATTACCATTACATGGATGTGACCTATAATACCGGGGATTCAACGGAATCAGGGCGGACAGTGTAGGTACGTTGCAAAAATTACTGTTTGCAGTGATAAAAGAAGGACTTTGAGCAATTTCTACAGGTGAATGAAAATAGAAACTTAAGAATTAAGTTCCAAGTATGTCCCTTTAGGATTAATGATTGTACTTTTCCTCTCTGTGAGTTGGGAGAAACCACTGTGTTTAGGGAAGACGGGACAATTCCCTACTGATCTTAAAATAGCAGCATGAGCTTTTTGCTCTTTTTATCTGTAGGTTCATACTCTGTTTCTTAACAGCACTGGGGTTCTCTTTTTCTCTGATGTAAGTTATTTCTTCTGAAAAGGAAGAATGAAATTGTATTGTTCTTTTTCCTGTGGTGATTTAGATGAAGTTGGTGTCAGTGAGGGGTGCTGAAAAACTGATGAGCAGGATCTTTCACCTGCTCCAGATGGTCCAGGGCAGTTAATCAGAGCAGGTCTGATGTCAAAGGAATTGTTTATATAAGCAGTGATTCATCTTCCCATTCCCAGTAATAATAGTGGTGTTACAAACCAATCTGCTCTAAAACCCTGCCTCAGAAGAATTGTGAACTCTAGTTTTTCACTTTCTAACCTAGATTCAGTCTGGGGTCCTGTCTTTACAGGGAGTCAAACAGGGTCCTGTCTTTACAGGGAGTCCTGTGTCCAAGCTCCCTACAAATTTGGGCTGTGTTCCTGACCTTCCCCATCATCCAAGAATTGCAGCATTTTTGTTTTGTGGAAGGCTTTAGCTTTCCAGACACATGACTATCTAGCAACAGCACATAAAAGCAGACTTTTATTATTTTCTCCTGCTTTTGGCACCGTAGAGAGGCTGTATCAACTATCAAGCCCCCAGGAGAACAGAATATTAACAACTATTCTGTACTGAGGATTTAGGGCCTAATTCAGCTGCCATTAATCTCAGCAACAAAAGTCTTTTTGCAGGATTTAGAGATCTAGGCCACTAATATTGGGGTATTAAGTGGGGGGGGAGGAGGAGGGCTGAAATAAGGTGACCAGACACCTACGTAATTTAGAGAGTTCTGTTTAAAGAGAGGGATGGAAGAGGATTTGGTGTTAAGAGATGAACTCTGCACTGTGTAACATATGTGTCTGAGATGTTTTAACTCTAGACCAGAGTAAAAAAGTAAGTTCAGAGGGAACCCTAAAGACACTGCTGAGGAACCCTTAACTGTATGTAACTGCTTTCAGGGCAGCAGCTTTTTGCTTCAGTATCAGAGTTGCAGCTGGGGAAAAGGGAGATGCTGTGTGTTCCCCATTGCAGATTGTTCTGTCGTGCAGAAGAGTACAAAATGGGTAGTACAGAGAAAAAAACCCCAACATTTGCAATAAGACCATGTGCCTGACACACACCAAGTGGGCTTTTTTTTGGAGCATCAGCCTTCCTGGATTGTGTAAATCTGAAATGGGGTTTTGCTGCCCTCCTTGGGGTGACTGAGGTGAGGCAAACTTTGATTCACACAGTTGTTTCTTGCTGGTTTGCTCTCAGAGTACTGGAATGTATTTTTCAATGGCCTTTTCAAAAAATTTATTTTAATGACTTTTAAGGATGCTTGGACAAGTTTCAGTCTGCAAGCAGGTCATTAGATGTCCCAGAGAATGGTTGCATTTCCTTCCAGCAGAGTAGGTTGCCTTCCTGAGGTACTAAATGCTAAAAATTCTCACTGTCAGACTTTATGGTACCTGCAAAGATTTAAAGCTTTAAAGCTTGCTGAATAGCAATCTTGACTGTGTGCTCTTTCCCCATCCCCTTTAGGGTGGGGAGATGCCTGTGGATGGAAGCAAGTTTCAACAAACCTTGTCCAGAACTCTTTTGGGCTTGTAGCCTGCATACTATAAAAGCAAAAGTGAAGCAAAACCTGAAATAAATAATCATTATTTCTTAAACTGCAGTGTGGCCAAACCTTTGTCAACTGTAGAAAATCATGGACAGTTGCCTGTGGCAAGAGTCTTAACAAAAAAAAAGAAAATCAGGGTGATTCATGACAAAATAAACCAGAGCTTAACCTGGAACAGGACAGTCAGTTTGGCACAGGTGAGATTCTGCAGACATTTGGCTCTATAGAAACAAGGGAAATTAGTGCTTAGGAAGATCTGGCCTCCCTTTGTAGCTGATTTCACAGCAAAATGCACAATGTTTCCTTTCATAGGTGAGTTGAGATAAGCCCTCACATACTCCTGAACGCTGGAGAAATGCCTCCTTCCCGATCCAAGACTCGGCAGAAAAGGGCTGGAAAAGAGAAAGTGTTGAATTGTGAGAAAAACATGAGCTCCCCAGGAGACTCAAAGATCCGCTGTGGGAGGCAGAGGGAAGGGAAGAGCAGAGGGCAACTGAAGGACAAAGAGTCACTGCCTGGACAAGGTGACACCCTTGAAGAAGAGCCCTTAAAAATCCAGAGTCTGGGGAGGCTTCAGGGAAGCAAAGAAAATGGCCACAAAAAGTTATTCCAGGGAAAAAGAGCCTACAAGAGAAATGATAAAAGCGAATCTGGTTTGGGAAGAAAACATAGAGAACGGGTCATGTCCAGGTTGGAGGGGAAAAAACAAAAGGCCTGCAAGCAACAGGAAAGGACATCAGGGCAGGAAAGTGAGGACAGCAGTGACAAGGAGGGTAAATCCACCACAAACAGCAAGAAACACAGTTCTAAAAAGAAGCGTGGAAAGCGTGTTGGTGTCAGGGGAAAAGTCACTGACTTGGAGTCTATAAAGGCAATTGCAGAGCAAAGTGCAGAAGGCTCTTTTCAGAAACAGAACCCACCAGAAAAGGCACAGAACCTCAGGGGAAAGCACAGAGGGAAACAGGGCTTTAAGGAGGCTTCTGGGCAGAAGTCAAGTCCTCAATCCCAAGGCAGTACAGCACAGGGAAAAGGTGAGAGGACTGGGAAAAAGAAAGTTGAAAAATGTGCCAGGATTGTCATCACTGAAAGCGAAGAAGAAAATTTCCTGGAAACCTCAGATAACTCCTGCTCTGACTCCAGCAGTGAAGGCCATGGGACCCAAGAAATGGGTACAAAAGAGGCTGTAGTGGGCAGCACTTCCAGCAGTGGAGAGAAGAGCAGCTCTTCAGAAAAGAAGAGCAGTTCAGAAGAGAAGGGCAGTTCTTCAGAACAGAGGAACAGTTCAGAAGAGAAGAGCAGTTCTTCAGAAGAGAAGGGTAGTTCAGAAGAGAGGAGCAGTTCAGAAGAGGAAGATGACAACAGTGAGAAAGAAGCTGTGCTCGAAGGTCCTCCTGTGACTGAAGGCAAAGGCTACAAGGAAGTGGTTGATGAAAGCAATGAAGCATCTATTGAACCTGAAAGGGAGCAGGAAACCACAGATGGAAAAATTGAATCTGAGGATGAAGGCACTGAATGTGCAGGGTTGGAAGCAGAGAAGATGAAGAAGCAAGACAACATGCTGACACAACCAAAATGTGTTCTAGTTGAGGACAGTGGGGCAGATGATGAGGTAAACATTTCAGAATTCCAAGTTAAGAGTCTTAAGAACAGAGAAAATAATGAAGTAGACAAGGAAAATATACTAGAAAATGACAGAGTTCAAGATATATCTAAGGAGAGACATATAAATTCTGACAGTGTTGGGGAGAACAGAACTGAAGAGACCACTGATGAAGGAAAGGAAAATGCAACAAAACCCCTGCCAAGTGCTGTGAAAGCAAAACTCCATGTTGGCCTTAGCAAAGCACATCAAGGATCTGAACAGGAGGAGATGGTGAACAAGGAAGGCAGTGTGCTGGAAGACAGCCCTTTGCTCTCCAAACAGCAAAGGACTTTGAAGGAGAAGTCTGGGAGGTGTGAGATTGCACAACAAGGTGAAGAGGTAGCACATGGACAGAGGGACAGTTCATCAGACTGCAGCAAGCAGGAACTAGCAGCAATGATGCTCACAAAGAAAAGTTCTCAATCCCAAATCCCTCTCAGTCTGAAAAAGAAACATAAAAATGCTGAGACCAAACTATTACCAAGCTGTAAACCGAATCCTGTCCAGATGGCTTTGGGAACCAACTCAGACCTGAAAAATGTTGAAAGCATCTGTTCAAAACCCATGACTCTAGAAACCCTCAGTAAACAAAAAGAACCTGATATAACTCAAAGTTTTGGAGAGAAAAGATTAAATACTTCAAGCTGCTCCCTGATTGTTAAAAAATCATCTGATAAGCAGCTCCTTGGAAAGAAGAAGAAAGTTGGAAAAGTTACTGGAAAAGTTAAACTGAGTTCGGGCCAGACTTCAGAGGCAAAAGAAGAGAAAGCAGAAGAAGTGCTTGCAGAGGCACCTTCTGAAACAGAACATGAGCATGATTGGAAAGGATCCAAGCACTTGCACACTCATTCTACTTTTAGAAAAGTCACCAGCTGGCTTGGGCAAAAGCCTGCCAAGAAATCAAGGCTGAAAGCTCGTCTGCTGAGCGTGGCACGTGCAATTGGTATTTCAAGATGGCTCTTGAAGAAGTTTGGGAAGAGGAAGAAGAGCAGCAAACCTTTTGGATTCAGAAGCAGAATGGCAATCCGGCTTCTAAGCACTGCTGGGTGGGTTGGTCGGTCGGGCAAAGCCTTCCCTGGTGCAGCTGGACAGCTGGGGAGGGCTGAGCTGAGGGACAAGGAATCTTCTCCTCCATTATTGGAGGGCAAAAGCAGTCCTAAAATGGCAGAGGAAGTGGGACACGTTGATTTGCCTTCTAGTGATTCCCCTCTTCATGGAAGCAGTTCCTCTCCATGCTTGGATGAGAAGAGCAATGCTACTGATGCCAAGTTTGCTATAGTATTCCCCAGAGTCCACAGCTTGGTTAAGGCTAAAAACTCCTTATCCAGGGGCTCTGGGAAGGGTTGTTCCCTAGAAAAACTGAGATCTCTATCAGACAGAAAATCTGTCACACCTGTGCAACAGGGTAGCAGATTCAAATGTGACCTTCCCAGATCTTTGGTGGGTCAAAGCCAGAGAGAGAGCAAACAGGGCTTCCTTCTGCGTGAACAAGATCCAATATGGACATCAGATTATTCCAGTGAGGTGGATGTCAAAGGAGGCTCGGGTGTCCTCCAGACTGCAGGGTCTGTGGTCACACCTGGTGTTCACTGGTCTCAGCAGCAGGCCCAGGGCTGTGACCCTGCAGTGTGGCTGAACTCGGAGCTGCTGCTGCCACGCCTGACCATCGAGAACCTGAGCAAGTGGGCCATCTACAGGGACCCACAGCTGGCCAGCAGCCGTGTGAGGAAGGTCTGCAAGGAGCAGTGGGAGGCAGAAGACGCCACAGACGATGTGCTAGAGATGGAGTTCCTGCAGAAACAGGTACAGGTGCTGTCTCCGGTACTGGAATGAAACTGAACTTCTGCTGATTGTCAGTAATGTATCTGTGCATTTCAGGTGTACAGGTGTGAAGACCCCTGTGCAGAAGTTGAGGAGATTGAAGATCTAACCAGACTAGAGTATGTGTCCTCAGTAGCATTCTGCACTAGTTCAGGTCACGGGGGCTTGATTGTTATCCTTCAAAGTTGGCTCAACGACAGAAAGCACGTTATAGATCTTGGGCTACCATGGGAGGAAACAGAATTAATTTGATGCATATCATAGCTGAGTAAGGCTACTATTAACACATGCAAGTGAAGCTTATATCTGACCAGTCCTTTCTTCTATTTGTAGGGAAGTCTCTGAGAGCTCAGTCCTGCTGTGCCTGAAGGAGAGATTCCACCGCAATCTCATTTATGTACGAGATAAACTGTGGGTGGTGGGGTTTGGTTTGGTTTTCTTCAGCACTTATTCATTCTGAACAATGACTTGTAAGAGAAAATTATTGATATTATTCCATCAAGCTTTAATAGTGCACCAAGTAGCTCAAGAGCTTGTTCATTAAAGTGATTAAAAATGATACACAGCTTTTGCTCAGAAGGCAGATAACATGAAATATTGGGGGTAAAATCAGAGAGTTTCAGAGCTTCTCTGTAATTTTGCTATTCACTGGCATCCTGTGAGTATTCCTGGGTTCCATTTCAGCCTCAGCTGCTCCTGGTGGGACTCTCCTATCTTAGCAAAGCAGTTCTGAGTAAAAAATTGTGGATCTTGAGAAGAAACCTCCGAGTTTACGCAAACATTTCACAGTGTTGCCATCCAGATCTAGCTCTGGATGGCTAATTGTTCTCTTTTTTTCTCTTACTGGCTCAGGTGTTCAAACCTGTGCCTGTAATTTCATATGGAGCTGGGAGAATAGACAGTGGCCAGAGAAGATGACCACAGACCAGTGAGTGCTCACTTATCCCAAACTATTAATGACAGAGCTTTGAAAATGACACTGAAAAACCCTGGATAAGATGACAGTATAGTCAGAACAGACAGTATTCTTTTAAAGGGCATTTAAATCTTTGTACTAATATATGTGTTCAGTTGCATTCCTCATTCAGAAAATTCTAAGAAGCCACCAGACTTTTTTCCCCTCTCTTATTTTTGTCCTAGACTTACATTGGGCAAATTTTGGTTTCTGTGAATCCTTTCAAAGACCTGAGTATCTACTCTGAAGATGTGGCTACCCGGTACCATCAGGGCACTCTCTCAAAAAACGCCCCGTACGTTCCTCTTTCTTGAATAACTCCCTAAACCCTGTTCCATTTGTGCTCCAGAGCATATTTTATGTTCCTCCAGTTGTGTGGTAGAGCAGGATGAATGTCACAGGGAGTGAACAACCCATTTGGCAAAGCTGTAGTTGCTTGGACCTGTGTCTAATGTAGATCCCTGATGAGTAACCTTTTGGTGCTGTGTTTGTGAGGTAGAAATGCGAGGTCAGTTGATGGGGTTTTTCTTTCTGTCCATGCAGACACGTCTTTGCCATAGCAGAAATGGCCTACACGCTGTCCCAGTCGTCAGGGCAGGAGCAGTGTGTCATCATCAGGTAGGAAATGAGGTACTTTCCTGAAGGCATCCTAATTTCTTTATGTAAAACTTTCATCTTTTTAAGTTGATCATTCTGGGTCTTGTGTGAGGGCTCTCAGTAGAGAACCTGAATAAGGTGGATTTTTGTTTCGCTCTGTGCAAAAATGGTTTATATTTACTTTCACATCAGTTCAGAGGAGTGGAAGAGAAGCTATTTGGCATTCCACAGTGGAATCTTATCTGGGACCATTTTGTCAAGTTGTCTCAGTGTTTCAAGCACTAGGTGATAGATCTTCAGATGTAAATCAGTACAACCCCACTGATTTGCTGTAACAGGGCTCTGGTGTGTCCAGATTAGGTAACTCTATTTTGATACCAGCTTCCTTACCTCTTGTTCCTCCAGTGGACACAGTGGATCAGGTAAAACAGAAGCTGCCAAAGCAATTGTGCAATACCTGACCCTGCTGTACCAGAGATCAGACAGCCACAGGATCAGACAGGTAAGAGATAACAGAGGTTGGCTGGATGCTGTGGTGGTTGAGCAAGGAAAAGAAGCCAAAGACAGGAGAGAGAGGCCAGGCTGATGTTATTTCTTTATTCCTGTTCAGCTGAGCTGGACTTTGGATGGCTTGTGGTCCAAGGTGAAGCTCCCATAAAGATATGAGGAGAGCTGGTATATTTGTAGTTCTGTATATTAATATCCTTGAGGACTGGTGCTGTCTAGAGTGGTGTATCTTTTTGAACAGATACCTGCCCTAGAGAGCTTATATCAGAGTCTGGGAGGTGAATCTGAACAAACACAGAGCAGAAGGAAAGTGAAAGATCATAAAGAGCTCACAGAGCAACTTGCCACTGGCTAGAGATAATGATACCAAGATACATTTAAAAAGAGACTTTTTATTCAGACAAGAATTATATCACTGAAGTCCCATTTTTCTTAGATTTATAAACTAATAGTTACTTAAGCCCCGTTCAGTTTAAAAACCTGTGGTTGCTACTGAAGTGTTGTCTCCCTCTTTTCTTCAAGCCCTGCAATGCCCTACCCATCCTGGAGAGTTTTGGAAATGCCAGAACCATCCTCAACGACAACTCAAGCCGTTTTGGAAAGCTTCTGAACGTCCACCTGCGACAGTGAGTTGAAGAAACCCTGTGGGTGTTTCCTTGCACTGCTGAGGGGTGCCTGGGTGAGGAAAGGTCGAGCAGTGCTTGGGGCTCAGGCAATAACCCTCCCTCCCCTTCACTCCTGTTATCATCAGGGTAGGAAGAGAGTGAGTTTACACCCCTATTTTGCCCTTAGGTTTCCTCCACAAAAGAATGGATCTTGCTTCTCAAGATGAGTGTTAAATTAAGAACATAAGGATGGCTGAACTGGTTATACCAAGAAGCCACCTAATACAGTCTGGTGTCCCCAACATGGGCCACAAGCTCTGACTGAGACAAGAACAGGCCAATACCTACAACACTTTTCTCTAACACTCTGTGAGCTCTTGACCATTTGCAGCAGCCCAGGAGTTTTCCCAGGTCTCTTGAGGTTTTCCAGTTTCTTGGACTCATACAAACTTCATGCATCTGCAACAGCCTTTGACAAGTGTTCCACAGGTCTAACCAGTTTTGTGAAAAACACCTTTCTGTTTGGAACCTGCCTCCTTTCTAACCTCTGTGTTTGGTTTGTTTGCTTGGGTTGTTTTCTGGCTGTTGCCAAGCACTGAGCTGATTCTCTCATGTAACTGTCTGCCATAACCCTCAGGTCTCAGTCCTAAGGAGCAGTGGTTAATTTGGAGGCTGTGTGTTTATGTGTGAAGCTGGGCCTGCATCCATCACTTTACATTTGTCTACAGTGGATTTCATGTGCCATTTTCTTGCCCACTCTGTACTCTAAAGTCTGTCTGCATTTATTGACAGTTGGCTTTTATCTTCACTACCTTGAATCATTTCATACAAACAGGAAGCTTTGTCACATTGTTGTTCAGCTGCTCTTTTAGGTCATTTATCAAACCCTCAGTTACTGGTCAGGCACAGACACTTTGTGGAATTCTAATGGTTACCTCACACTGTTAACAGGATTCCCCTTTACTCCCATGTCAGGACCTTCCCTCTCATGCTGTGGTTGCTTTGTTTCCCTGAAAGTCCCACACCTTTGTCAAAATATTTTGGAAATTCATGTAGACTACACCCCTTAGATCATTCTTATCTACAGAGACAGTGATCTGCAGAAAACCTGTTCCTAGCCTCTGACAGGAGCTGTTGTTGTCTTATGCTCAGTGGCGTCGTGGTGGGAACATCCATCTCCCAGTACCTGCTGGAGAAATCTCGAGTGGTATTTCAGGTGAGGACCAGTGACTCCCTCTCTCCCTTACTGATATTTAATCTTAAACTTACTGTTGAGTAACAGGAATAGGAATAAGTATGAGAATTGCCTCCCATTTCAAGAGAACAAGAAATATGTCCCCTCTGTGTAGCACAGGGTGATCACTTATTTTATTTGGATAAAATAGAAGGTCTCTCTGTCTCAAACAGCTTGAATGAAGCCATTTATTAGGGATTACTGAGAGTTAAATCTTTCCTCAACTCATTTTTCTTTATCTCTGGAGTATGGGAAAGGTCAAATATTGTAGGTGTGTGAAAAGGACTGCTCTTAGAATGTTCCTAAGGTGTCAACGTGAAAACCTGGAAACTTTCCAAATTAAATGGTTCTGGCCTTGTCTTGCTGACTTCAGAGTCTGTGTCCTGCTCTTTGAGTGTATTCTGTAGAGGTTTGGAGCTGGACATGAGTCAACTCTGTGAATGTGTCCCCTGTCAGGCCCATGGTGAGAGGAACTACCACGTGTTTTATGAGCTGCTGGCTGGGCTGCCCATGGAGCAGAAGGAGGAGATGTACTTGCAAGAGGCAGAGTCTTACTTTTACCTGAATCAGGTGAGTGAGCTGAGGGGGCTCTGCAGCAGCTGATGCAGTGAAATGGCCAAGACATCACTTCTGTTTGGGTAGCAAGACACTTACTGACTTTGCTTCCCTGCTAATGTGTCCTTCAAAGGACATGCTAAAGTCTGCTCTGTTCCTTCCCACACCTGACTTTTCTCTTCCGTGATTCTTTTCTCATCTTTCAGGTCCCTTCTGCTCCTAAGCAAAACATTTTAAAAAGGAGTCGTTGTGTAAACCCATGGCTCCATCGTGTGGTGAAAAAATCCTTTCCTCGTTTCCTTTCCTTGCATTTGCAGTTTATTGTGGGACTGCAAAGAACAGGGGGATATTTCTTTCTACCTACTGCAAAGAACTTGCTTCATTGCCTGAGTCAACGGGTGCAAATTTTGAACCTCTGAAATGTACAGTTATTTAAGTTGGAAAATTGTTTGCTTACGTCGAGTCATAATCTTGAAACAAGTTTTGGTTTTGTCTGATTGTGTTCTGGGAGGTTGTTTGTTTTGTTTGCTTGTTTGTTGGGGTTTTTTTTGTTTTGTTTTCCACACTCGAGGAGTTCACAGAAGTAGCAAGAGATCTTTCCTATTTCAGCCGTGTGAGTCAGCTTTCCCAGGTGGGAGCAGCAGCTCTTCACAGCAGCTGTGGTCGTGTGAGGAATCCTCGATGGTGATTGCTATCATCTTGCCTTCAGGCAAGGAATGGACAAGTACCAATAATGACTCAAGGATGGAGGGCAATTAGGGGCCCATCCCTTGCTGGGTGACGTTCCTGGCTGGCAAAGCCAGTAAACCAAACGCTTGAAGGTGATAGTTAACAGGAATGTCTCGGGCGGCTGCAGAGAAAGAAAGGAAAAAAGATCAGATTATGCACAAAGAAGTTGGCAGAGACTGACAAAATCTCTCTTGGATCTTAGTCTTGGCCCAGGGGCTGCCTGAACCTCATCCTTGTCTCATTGGAATCTGAGAGTAGCTTGAAACTTTGATCAAAGAATGCCCTTGTACACAAACAGGTTCCACAGTCCCCCCCCAGCCCGACCCAGGATTTCTGTGAACTTTAGGGCTGTTGTTAGGAGTGTCCTGTAGAGATAAGCTCAAGAAGCAGAAACATGATAAGGCCGTGTTGTAGTGAAGCTCTGAGGCAGAGATGAGACAGGCTGTAACACAGGGTGGCTCTCTGGGTGCACAGATCCCCATTTGCCTTGACACGTTAGGTCCTGGTACAATCTGGGGTGGTGATTCTGCCATGACTTATTTGGAGTCGATTCTGGCACCCCTTCTTCTCTCAAGCTGCACCCCAGCAGTGGGCAAGGGAGAGCTGGGGTGCTTGTACTGGAACCATAACAGAAACTTGGCGTGTGAGGGCAAGAGAGATCTCACTCTCGAGAACTCCAGAGAGGAGAGAGACTGCTCCATCACAAACGCTGAGCTCCCACTAGTGGCGCCTTTGGTCTTTTTATTTCAGATTCCTCCAGTTCTTAAGACACTGAACTACTCTGAAGTTTGCTGCTGGTGGCTCAGCTCCAGCCTGGGGCAAAAGGGGCTGATCAGGATTATCTGTCCCTTTCCTCTCAGGGCAGAGCATGTGACATCCTGGGGAAGGAGGACAGTCAGGACTTTCTGGTCTTGGTGCAAGCTCTGGAGGGGATCTGCCTCTCAGAGGACCAGCTGAACTCCACCTGGGCTGTCCTGGCTGCCATTCTGCAGCTGGGGAACATCTGCTTTACCTCCTGCGAGGTACCTCACCCTTGGCAGCTGGGGAATGGGTTATGTGTGCTGAACGTTGCTGTTATCCCACGTGACGGGACCAGGGACATTATTCCTGACTGAAGATGACATCTTTTGGAGACTATTCTGTTCTTTTTATGTTGGGCTCTGAACTGACCTGGGCAGGGACAGAAATGGGAGGCAAGCAAAGGTCATTAGAGCTTGAGTGGCTCTTTGAGGAGCCAAAATAAACCTGGTGTCTTACCCAGGTTGTTTTTTGTTGTGACCAGCTCTGTGCAGCTGAGGTGCTGTTGAGAATATTGATACCAGTGGGATTTGTATTCCATCCACAGATGAATCTGTTGTTTTCTTTTGTTTAGAAAGAATCTTATGAACACGCTGCCATTGCCAGTGACACTGAGATCCAGATTGTGGCCAATTTGTTGTGTGTCTCAGCAGATTTCCTGCAAAGTGCTGTCACTCACCGTGTCACTGTGAGTACCTTCTTGGTGATTTCTTGTTCATCCTGAAGCACAGGATGTCCAATGCTCTGTCAACAGAAGGGCCACCACCTGAGAAGGCCCAAAATCTGGGAGGGAACAGGACAAGTAAAATGGTTAGAATGAGCTGAATCCCTCAAGGCAGCTCTGTAAAGATGCCAGAACTCACATCCAGGAAGTCTCTTTGCTGACATGAGGTGGCTTCAGGCTTATCAGTTTGGCCAGCTGAGTCGCCCCCAGAAATGTGGCAGCAAAATTCTCGGTCTGCTTTTGCCTTTGATACCTGGGTAAATTCTCAGGCCAAATAGGAAAAAAAACCCAAACAATCAATTTGTTAGTTGGGTTGTTTTCCTTGTGGATTAAAAAAAAAAAAGAAAAGAAAAGAAAAGAAAAGAAAAAAGGTGTATCTGTGAGTTAATAACAGTAAATTCTGGCTCTTTATGTATCCAGGTGACATCTTATGATCGGATCTTCACCCCTCTGTCTGTAGAAGGAGCCATCGATGCCAGGTGACTTCTGCTGTTGCCTGGGTTGGTGAGATTCTCCCAGGAGTCTTTGCAGTAATTGGTTTTACTGCCCTCTCCCCCTCAGGGACTCCATTGCCAAGACTCTGTACTACCTGCTTTTTGAGTGGCTGCTGCTGAGGATCAACGAGTGGTTAGCTCCCTGGGAATCAGACTGTGCCGTGGGAATTGTGGACATACATGGTTTTGAGGTTACTTTGCCTGTTCTTTTGCTGTGGTCTGGGCTGTGAGTGCTCATCAATGCCTCTGAGTTTTTTACTTAGGACTCCTGTTAAAATCTGTGTCTCAAGGAACAAGGGAATGAAAACAATGGAATATGTAGGTGGGGCTGTGCAGCCAAGAGATCTCTTCTTCTTCATGCTCCTTCACAGCTTGGCTTGCCTGTTGCTGTTCAGCCTAGTCAATAAACCAGGCTGAGATCTTGCAGACGAGATAGAAGATGATTTGACCTTCTGGGGTTCATTCACACTGATCAGAACCAGCTGCCTGAACCAGCAGCTCAGCTCAGCACCAGCTGAGGCTGTGCAGCATTTACAGGAAGCCACAGGACCATGGCTGGGCTGGGTGTTGGAAAGGATTATCCTTTTTTGTCTTTGCAGGATCTCGGGTTGAACAGCTTGGAGCAGCTCTGCATCAACTTTGCCAACGAGCACCTCCAGCAGTTTTTCAGTCAGACTGTCATTGCCCAGGAAGAGGTAAATGGAACTCAGTGGAACCTCCACAACATGTTAAGGCAGCACATATGGAATGAGATGAGGTGTTCTCAGATGAAGAGGATCCTTTAGCAGTGAATAGGAAGCCGAATGGACCTGGTCCTCTTAAGCAGTATCCATGGAATTCCAGTCCAAAGAGCCTATTCAATATTTTTACTAGTTCTGTAGTAAATTAAGGTAAAATTAAGAGAATGAGAGTTTGTTAGTGCATTGCTCCCTTTTGCAGGTTTTATAAGTGAGTTGGTCAGGATGAAGGATCCCAGGCCTCAGCCAGTACTTTTAAAGCCTGTTTGGCTTCTTTGTAGCATTTTATGTACCATTTATGTACTGGGGGTGAAAGTGTATTTGTCATATTTGTTACCTTTTACAGTTCACTTTCCCACTCTGCTTAGCAGCCTTCCTCTATTAAATTAGGACAATAATTAGTGGCTTTAGAAGAAGTTTCATAGGACAGAACCAGATAATTCTAGGCAAGTTCCTAACAGCAGTGGAACACCAACTTCCTGATGAATGAACCAAATCCCTGTTGTTAACTCCCTCCATTTGCTCTTGTCTGCATGGCTGGATTTGGTCTTTAACATGCAGGAGGAATACAGCCAAGAGCAGTTATCTTGGATTCCTATTTCCAAGATGTACAGTGAGTCGTGCCTCCATTTCCTCACTGCAAAACCCCACGGCATCTTGTGTATCCTGGATGACCAGACATCACTGACTCAGGTGAGAAGCTCTTGGCCTCTCGTGTAATCCCTTTCACAGGGTGATTATGGTGAAGTTGTTATCCAGACTGAACAGCTACTGTGTCTGCACCAGTATTAGATGTTTTTTCCTTTGGTTTAACAGCAGCTTTTCAGTCTGTTGAATACGTTGCAGCAGCAGGGAATATTTGTCATGTCCTTTACAGGCCACAGACCACACTTTCCTCCAAAAGTGTCACTACCATCATGGAAACAGCCCCTGGTACACCAAGCCCAAGCTGCCCTTGCCAGTGTTCACTGTGAAGCACTATGCAGGCCCTGTCACCTACCAGGTGAGCTGGCAGGGGCTCGGAGCAGCTGGAGCAATGGCCCAGCTTGGAGATAAGCTGTGGGTGTCCAGCTCCCAGTCCTGTGACCAAAACCCTCCCTTAGTAACTCCACATCATCCCTCTAGAGCATCAGTTTATCACAAATTAGAAGATTCTTATCGGGAGAAGCAACTTTGCTGCCTGTGGGCAGAAGCAAAATAGTTATTAACCTCAGTGACACAATAGCCTGCACTGTGTGTCCCAGAGCCCTGGAAGTCCAGGAAAGCTATTGCTGCTGAAAAGAAGTGAGAGGTCAAAGCCTGCTGGGTAATGTGAAGGGAAGAGGAGCAATCCCTCCTAAAAGCAGAAGTCATTGTCCCCTCCACTCTTGGTGGCAGCAGGAAGAGCCAGCTTCATTCTCCAGGGCTTTCCTCTTGTTCCCCCAGTCAAGGTGTGTGTAAGAGGGGTGTTTGCCTGTCTGCCTGGTCTGACTGGTGCATTAAACCAGACTTTGTCTCTGCAGGTTCACAAGTTTCTTAATAAAAACCGTGACCAGCTTCGTCCAGAGGTGCTGGACATCTTCTCTCAGAGCCGCCTCAAGGTACTGCAGTGATTCAGGAGGAAAATCTCTGTTGTAGACACCTAATGAGCCAGCAGAAGGGTCCTGATCAGATGTCAGGAGAACCTGGAGAAACCATGAAGAATTCTGTTTTACTGAAGGACACTTGGGAATTGAGCAAGTTGTCTTTGCACATATTTGATGCATTTTATGTAAAATGCACAGACTGCCTGAGGGTAGTTTCAGGTAGAAGAGATCATTCTTGCCTTGTAGTTCAGGGAATTTTGTTCATTTCTTTGTTTTTGCAGGTGGTGTCTCACATTTTCCAGAAGGCTAAAGCTGCCTATAGTCAGCAAAGGAAGCTGGGGCCGAGGGGCAAAGGGCTCAAGCCTCAGGCCTCCACACTGGTGTCCAAATTCCAGCAGTCTTTGCAGGACCTCACAGCCAAGCTGAGAAGGTGAGAGATGCTGCTGCACCCAGAAATGTGTGAAGTCCTCCAGGGTCAGCACAGAGAGGAGGGTGATCAAAGGTTCTTCCTTCTGTTTTCCAGGAGCCATGCCTTCTTCATTCGGTGCATCACCCCTAATCCCAAAAAGGTAGGGCAGCACCCTGAGCTCCTTATGGAGTACTTCAGTTCCTTGAAGTCTGTTCTCCAACAGCTCTCCTTTCACAGCTGGGATTTGAACTTCTTTGCTTCATTTGGTAGCTTGGGACTTTTCTTTCCCTTTCTCTGTCTCCCACCCTGCCCTGTGGCCATGTGAGTTAACCCTGTGCTGGAGGAACAGAAGCCACTGTCATTTGGACACCAAACAGTGCATTGGATTTTGCATTCCATTGCTCAGAGATCATGGCAAGATCTAAACTCAGGACAGGACAACAGAAGGAGACCCTTTCTAAACTCTCTGCCTTCTACCTCCTTTATTTTATTTTTTTTTTTTATTTATTGTTTTTAATTTTTCTTCTGCCTTATCTTCACAGCTGTCAAATATCTTTGATGTGGAATATGTCACTTGTCAGCTGCGACATTCTGGGATACTGGAGGCTATCCACATCAGAAAGGAGGGATACCCCATCCGTCTTCCATTCCAGAACTTCCTGGCCAGGTACAGGATTGGGATTCCCCAGCCACTCGGCCTTGGATGAACTTGTCAGCACACTTGTGATTTCTCTTCGAGCTCGAGTTACAGCCCTGGCTTCTGTCACATGGACACCTCATCTCCCAGGTATGGGCTCCTGGCTGGGCGAGGGCTCAGCTGCCTGGAGGAGAGAGAAGGCTGTGCAGCAGTGCTGGCTCGTGTGCTGGGGAACCCCTCGGATCTCTATCAGATTGGAGTAACAAAGGTGATGCCTACAGAGAACCCCATCTTAATCCACAGGCCCAGCCACCAATCCACTGGCTGGCAAGGCATGGAGATCCCAGGGAGAGGATGTTTCATGCCTTCCCCTCTCATGCTTTGCCTCTCGTCTCAAGGAGGCACTTTTAGCATTTCAGATAAACAGGAGAGTCTGGCTCCACGTTGTTGTAGTAGCATGGCCAACTCCTTTGTACACCCAGCATTCCTTAATGGAGATCTGGGCTTCTCCCTTTGCTGTCCACTAACCTTCATCACTCCTTGATTCCTTGTCCTCCCCAAATGCATCCATCTCTGTCTCTGCACCTGTGCCTCCTGCTCTCCCCAGCTTCTGCAGCAGGAACCCTCAAAGGCTGCAAAGAGAGAAACCAGCAGCTTTTATTACTGCCCAGCTCTTAGAGAAGCTGCTGCTTCCCTCGTGGGTCAGCAGCTGCTGCCTTTGCCCAGGTGTTTCTGAAGGAGAAGGCCAGGCAGCTGCTGGAGCGACGATGGATCCAGAGGAAGAGCTGGGCTGTTGTTACTCTGCAGAGGAAATTCCGGTGCCTCCTTCGCCGCAGACGCCTCCGTGTCCTCCAGGAGAAAGTCACAGTCATTCAGGCTCACTTCCGAGGCTACCAGGCAAGGTCAGGAGTCAAAGGCCAGGCCAGGAACAGCCCTTTGGCCCTGCCCAGGACAGCCAGGTGGGGATGTGCCTGGCCAGGCCCCTCCTCGTGTTGGCTCCTGGCCTGCTCTATGTGTGTGTGTGTTGCTGATGCTTCCCTCGTTAGCCAATTCTTCTCTTTTCTCATCCCTCTAGGAAGCGTTACAGGAGGCTGAAGAAGACTTTGGTGCAATTTAATACCATGATTTTAATCTCCAGACCTTTGATTCAGAGGAGGAAGCGCTGCCAGGTAACAACACTCTCCTCAGGACAAGGTGTACAAAAGGAGCTATTTCTGCGCTAAGCAGAGAGAGCTGGTGACTAAACAGAGAGGCCAGGGCAGGGGTGACTTTAGAAAGTTTATTGAAAACAATCCAGTGAGATGTCCTTCACTCTGACTGACACGAATGTAGTCAAATGAAGGACACACAGAGATTGGAGCCTTCTCTTCCTAGACAGCATTCAGAACTGGCAAAGTTAGTACAAACACAGCCTAGTTCTGTGTCTGAGTATGTGACCTTCTCTGGACTGCCCTACACCAGACTACAGCTGATTCCATCTGAGGTCTTCAGGGCTGCTGTTCTGCTCAAGCTATGAGGAGCCACTCACCTTGCTCTTTCAGTTGCCCAGTTCGATTTCTGGTATTTTCCCAGATGGTGACTGAAATGCAAGATTTTTTCAGTCCACAATGATCCTCCCCTGATCCCTTAACAGCTACCTCAGACTGCTCAAGCCCTTGGCCTTTTGGAAATCAGGTGGGGTGAGAACAGGATGGCAGCTTATTGAGAAGAGGGAAAGCTGGGTGCAGGAGAGAGCCGTGGTTGTGTCAAATGTGTAGAATGTATTTTGCAGCACAAGTTATTAAAAAGAAAATAAAAAACACGAAATCAGACCATTCGTGCTTAGAGTAGCCACTAACATCCCCATCACTATCCCCATAACTACCAGCACTGCTGGCATGGCTAACAAAGGATGGGGAAGAGGGTAGAGGACAGTCATGGGAGCCTGCACAGGTGCCTTCTGTCATGCCATTCCCAGAACAGTGAGAGTTTCTATTCCATTTTCTGCCCTCCTACTTGGACAGGATCCAGGCTTCTTTCTCCCAGGTAACCACAACAGCACAGCTCCTTTGAATGCATTTCTGTTACTTCAGTGTTTGCTTGCCGAGGTCTCTGTACACACAGGAGCAACAACAAAGGTCTCAAAGTTCACCTGCTGCAAAGTTCCTCCTTTCCCCCCACCCCTCAGCCCTGCCCTTTGGACTTTAGCATGTCACCGTCTTTCTCAGCCCAACCCTCATAACCTCCCATCCACTCACACTGATCTGCAACACTGACAAGCAGGAGAGAGAGAGGGGCAGAAACAGAGACCCTCCTTTTCAATCTTGGAGCAGGAGTCAGGTGAGTGATGAAGCTGGGGAACAATAGAATGGATGGGAAAGGGCAGAGCTGCAAGGGAGTTTGGCTTTTGGTATCCCTCCTGCCTCTTCTGAAGGGTTTCCTCTCCATGGATAAGTCCATCCACCCGTGTTCAGGCTGTGCTGTTGTGTTCTCTGATGCTGGAGGAGGCAGGTGAATGTTTCTGACAGCTCCTGTCTGCTTTTGTCCTGGGACACACCAAATGCTTGGCAAGGGAGGGAAGGTGTGGCAGGATGCTGGGCAGGTGGTGGAGGCTCTTGCTGTTGGACTGTGTTGTGCAGGGCAGGTGGTGTTTCAGCAAAACTCAGGGCTTTGCCTGCTTGGGGTCCCAGGAAGGCTCTGTAGCTGTTCTGTCATTTTATCTGCTGGAGCAGGACACCACCTCCTTTCCACCCACAGCATTTGCCCTCAGAAGTAGCTGAAAGTGACTTCATACACATCTTTTCCCACCCCCCATCCCCTTTTCCTCTCCTAACAGCAGGAGTTAGAGGAAAGGAAACGAAGACAGAGATCCCTGGCCAGTGGTGACACAGAGAACAGTCCCAACCAAGGAATGGTAAGTTGTCAAAGGGTCTGGGAGACTCTGAGATAACAAGCCAGGTTATCCAGGTGTTCTGCCTTGCTTGTGCCTCCTCAGCCTAGGTCTGCTGCATGTCTGGAGGGTGTACACATGTGTGCTGGAAACCTTGCAGCAAGAATGCAGGTTAGACTGGTATAAAGAGCCTTCTAACACACAAATATCCCATTAGTTCAGTGTTTCCCAGACCCTGGGCATCGCCAGGCACCATGAAGTGGTCCTGAGGCAGAGCATTGTCTTTGTTCAGAGTGCTGGACCTCTTCCTTGGAGCTGGGAGGAAGATTATTTTTGATGATCATGTTCTATTATGAAAGGCGGGAATGAGACTGTTTTGCATAAATGTATTTACAGAAGATGTTGTAGAGGAAGGGATGTATTAAAGGCTTCATAAGAAGATTAGCCTGTATTTACACTGTGAACTAATGTCATTATTTGTATGTTTAGACCAGGCACATATTTGCTGTGAGATGTGTAATGAGAGAATCTGAACTGACATCACCCACAATTTTGGACAGATTTGTCAGTAACAACAGGAATACTTAGCACTGGGTGCTCTTGTAATATCACCTGCTTCCTCAGGTGTGGACCCAGGACTGTGGAATTTCACAGTCCACTTCCTGAATACACCATTGAAAAACAAGACTTAAAGTCAAGTATCTTCTTATGAGCAAAATCAAACTGATCAAAAAAAGCTGTGAATGTGTCTTTAAGCATCACTGAGAGATTATGTGGAGAGAGATGTCAGAATAGTGTGATGGTGACAAGAGACTTCATTATGCAGATCTTCAAAAAAACCCACAAAACCCCTCCAAAGCTCATGCTTTGTGTCTTTGGCTTGGTTTCATTGTGCCTTCATCTGAGTAGTTCTGCCTGAAATGCCCTGAACTGACATGATGTGCAGACAGTGATGCTGATACACTGAGCTGCATTGGCTCATTTATTCCTACCAATGCAACCATCATGCAAGGTGCAAAACAGTGAAAACCCAAGGCTTACTTGCCAGATTCTCATCTGAATTACCCAGGTACAGGTCTGAGTTTCCTTTGGAAACTCCAAAATAGTGTTGTGCATAAAAAAATCAGAATCAGCTCTATTTATTTATGCTGTACCACTTTTGGATTTTGAAAAATAGAACTAAAAATGCCAGAAAAAGGCACAGCAGGAAACAGCCCTTATCCTTCAGCTGCAGCCTCTTCTGTGCAAGATGCCAGATTTGTTAGTAATGAGAGATGAGTCAGAGAAAGTCAACTTTACTGTCATTCCCCTCGTGGCAGTTGATTTTTTTTTTTTTTTTTTTTACTTAAGAGTTGCTCTTTCCCTCCTTTGACAGCCCACGACACACCTGTGTTACTGTGATACTTCCCCAGTTGTGAATGTTGCAGAAATTGCTGGTTTGGCTCAGATGCTCAGCCCAGGCAGCTTCACCCAGTCCCAGCAGCACAGTTCAGGGTTTCTCTGTGGTTCCTTCGCTGGCAGCCCAGTGACTGACTTGCCTCTCTCTTGCAGGACGTGGGGCTGCTGGAGATCCCTGCAGAGCTTGCAGCCCTCCTGCAGTTCGTTGAAGGTGAGAAATCCCCCCTCCTTCCCTCCCTTCCCTGAACTGTTTCACTTCACTGTGTGTTTCCTCGTTTATAGCAGTGTCAGTGTGTGTTTGTTCTACCTGCTGCCTGTCACCCAGGCTGGATTTGATTTATGATCATTGCAGTGTAAATATGATAAAGGCAAATGGCACTGTGAATATTGTTTCCCAGCATGACAGAGTGGGAAAGTAACTTGGGCCAGGGGGCAGAACACCAGATTAAAAATCAGTATATTTGTTCATTTTTCAGCTCTTATGAGCTGGGCTGATAGAACTGATGACATGATGGTACAGAACTCTGGTCAAAGTTACGTGACAGCAAATTGCTCAATGAATTTGAGTCTCTGGCAGAGCTGAATATCTGGGGTGGGAGAACTTAAACCCGTCTTTTATCTACTGAAAAATATTTAGGGAAGGTGAAGAAGACAAAACTACGATTTTGGCAATTTCAAACAAATATTTTGGGGCTTAATTAAAATTATTTCCTCAAAAGTAGTTACTTCTTTTAAAACAGAAGGAAGGGGAAACAGCATAACAACTTAGTGATGCAACAGTGTGACGAGTTGGGATGTAACAATGCATCAACCTAAAGATGTGACAATGTAACAAGTTGAGTACATGATAATTTTTAACTTAAGGATGATATAAAGTATCAACTCAATGATCTCCATTTTGTTTGGTTCAGAAAGTTTTTTTGTTCTGTTTTCAAATCACCAAAATACTTCTTGCAGAAAAAAATTTCCCAAATTGTTCACCTGACGTTGAGCATTAAGTTATTTGCAGTTGTGTTTCCTCTGTAGCTGTTTGTGCAACGTAAATATTGAAATTGCAAATAGGTTGAGGCAGGATTTGCCTCTTTGTGTCAGTGTAGTGTCAAACAAAATGCCAGTGGTGCCTCTGGCCCTCTGTGAGGTACAGGGGGGGATACAATCAGGCAGAAGAGTTGTGAGCTGGAGCAGACCGTGCTGGATTCCCAAATAACTCACACTTCATGGCACAGCCCTCTAGGGACTATCAGCTGGTCTAGTGAGCAATGTAACCCAGAGGAGCTCAGGGAACACTGAAACTGCTGGAAATGAAAGCTGCTGGGATGTAAACAGGGAGGATGAGGAGAGCATCCAGCGACACGTTTGTTTGGAAACAGAGGAGTGCACAGGAGTTGTGCTGCACTGAGAAATCCCTTCACTTAGGAAGATGTTTGCTCCTCTCTTACCCATGATAACTCCCTCATCTTGAAGACCTCTCATTTACTTGTTGACTGAACAGTTAACAGCAGGATCTCATCGTGAGCTCAGTGTTTCCTGCCTCATAAATGCTGCAGAACAGAACTGAATCTCCATGTGCTCCCTGGCCTCTCGGTGTTCCCCGGAGAAAGAGATCTGAAAGATCAGAGCTGTAAAATCTCTCTCCTGAAGTGAGGCCCTGTGGTCTCAAAAGTGTGAGGCTGTGCCTGCTTGGGGGTCTGAGGCAGCAGGAGTGAGCTGGGTGTCCCTGGAGCCAGGGGCTGGCACAGAGGCAGGGTGAGATGCCACGTGTGGCTGAGTGAGCTGTGTGTGTTCTGTCTCCCACCTGCCACAACACCAGACCTCCTTCTCTTGCAGGTCGACACCAAGCACAGACCAACCAGATAACTGAGGCATTGCCTCCAGAAATCAAGGTCAAAGATGACCTTTCCCTCCCATCCACCATCAACAGCTATCCCTTCTCCTCCTTCGTTAAGTCACACTTCCAGGTGGGAACTCCTTTTCTGTCTCATCATTGCTTCTCCACTGCGTAGACACACTAGTTCTAGCAGCACCAGGAGCAAACTCTGTTTCCATCCTGTTGTTTCTTTGTAGAAGCCAGATTTCCCTGCCCTTGGTCAGCCTCTGCATCACCCCTTAACCCAGCTGGGCACCGAACACCACGAGAGTGCACTTGAGATCAACAAACTGGTAAGAGACGTCGTTCTTGACCTTGTTGAAGAACAGGTGGGCACTGACAATATTGTGGTGCCTTTATACAACAAGTTGCCGATGGTGGATACTGTTCTTATGATACTGTTCTGGAAAAACAGAACAAATTTCTCCTCCTAGGCCCTGCAGCAGCCTGGCAGAGATCACATGCAGCCCCTTAGGGCTGCTGTGTTCTTGGTGAGGCACAGACCAACCACAGATCACTGGGATCAGAGTGAATTGCCTGGTGATGTAGCCTCAGAATTGGGCAGGACATACAGGAATCAGACTGCTAAGCCTTAGTTTCCTGCTATTCCAGATTCAGTAGCAATGACAGTGTAAGGGAGGTCTGTCTCCTCAACCGTTTACTCATCTGTCAGTCATAAAAAATTTGATTTAACCCACATCTTTTCCATGATGTGGTTTATAGTAAATATATCAATTGCATCTCAGGCTCATGGTTGTGTCACTCAACAGGGAACAGTGAAGTGTCATATAAAGGTTGGAAAAGGGCAGGACTTTGTTATCAGGAAAACTGGAACCACACCCCAGCTATAGTGTTTGCGTGAAGGGGATGGTGTTATTGCAACTCTGTGGATGTGAAACAGATCTTTCTTTACATTTTTCTTAACAGTTGAAATATTTGAAAATAGAATGAAACTCCAGATAATTTCCAAGTAAATCTGGTAATCCTTTTGAGGATTACGTAGAATTAAAATAAGCCCATTAAGAAAGTTAATACCTAAACCCAGTCTCTTGTTTTGTCCTCATGATCCCAATTATAGAAGAGCATAAGCTTCAATAAAATCTTGTGAATAGGATTGTGTTTAAGCAGAATACTATTATTTTTCCTGGAGATCAAAGGCAATTTTTCTCCATTGCTAATGAAGTAGGGATTTACTACAAAGATTTCCATGAGAACTAAACAACCACCATCCCCTGTTTTTCTCATTGAATCTCTGACATCCTTAGTACCGTTAACTGTTTCTAGAAGTGTTGTCACTCTTAAATGTTCTTTCCAAAATATTTTAGAAATATTTCAATTAATGATATATTGAAGTGTAGAGGATGAAAGAAATTATTCTGCACCTAAGGGTGAGAAATAGAAAATACAAAAGCACTGAAGATATTGATATGCATCGAAGATATTGATATGCATAGCCAAGAAGCTGAATCATTGCTTCAATGATTTTGTTGAGACACCACCTCTCATACTAGTTGGTATAATATTAACTATACCAAAGTCTTTTCAGCAGTCAGTGGGCTCAGTAACAAATGTCCTGTGGTAATCCAGGTGTGTATCTAAGCCCTGCCCAAAGAAGGGGAAGTATTTTGCCCAAGACCAAATTCTGAGTCATAAATAAAAAGAGACTTGAAGTCACCCTGACTAAAAGTCAGAGTTCAGTCTCTACAAACGTTGCCTCCCAAATTCCCCAGCACTTGGGTGGTGCACAAAAACATGAGAACAGACCCTGATCTGAGTTTTGCCTACTCTTAGGCTCACCAGCACCGTGACGTCCACAACCCAGGCTGTCACCTTACAACACAGTTTGGGACAGAGGGTGAGATTACAGCCTGAGCTCTCTCTTTTTTTTTCCCCCTGGATGCCTCTAGATCTTGCGTTTCATTGGTGACAAGAGCCTCCATGGCTGGCAGGAGGTGCTCCTGGGCAACTACATTGCTGGCAGAGGTTTGAGTAACGTGGCTCTGCGCGATGAAATCCTCAGCCAGGTGGTTGCCCAGGCATGGAAGAACCCAGATGTGGAGCACAGCCAGCGAGCCTGGGTCCTGATGGCGACTGTGCTGAGCTGCTTTGTGCCTTCACCAGCACTGGAGAAGCCCTTGCTGAAGTAAGGGGGAGAAAAGAGCAATCCACGCCTGCACTACGGTTAAAGGGATGAGCAGAGTGCTAAATGCAGTTGCCTTTCCCTAGATTTGTGTCAGACCATGGCATGGAGGGCTACAATGCTGTCTGCCAGCGCAAGATCCTGACAGCAGCACATCACACAGAGACAGGCTCTGCATCCTCTCGGGCCTACCCTCCCACTCGGCTGGAGTGGACAGCAAACCAGAGGAGAGGGAAGATAGTGCTGGATGTTCATACCTTTAATGGTAACTCATGCTTCTGCCCTCCTGCTGTCTTCCAGTCCCTAAGGACGTTTCCAGTGCAGAAATCAGCATTTGGAAAATACTTCCCTCAACTTAGTAAAGAGGGATCAGAACACTGATTGCTACTGGCTGGTGCAACCATGGGGGATAAAAGCATCTGAATCTAGACCCAAAGCTTGTGAAGTCTGGGCCTGCTGAGACCTTCTACTGAGGCTGAGGGATGAGATTCTCCTGGGTTTGGGCCCATCTCACAGAGGGCTGTTCTGGTTGTGCATCTCTCGGGGTCTGGTTTTCCTGTTCCCCATTACAGCACAGTCCAGCAGCAGCAATTTATTGCAGGGACTTTCTGCCTTTCTCCCTTCTCAAATATTGCCTTATGCAGCCCTTGCTCAGGAGTGTGTGAGACTTTCCAGCTGGGCTCTGCCCCCGTGGAGTGCAGGGGCTGCTTTGGGTCCTGTCAGGGAGGCTGCAGGGACTGACTCTCTTCTCTGTGCCAGAGGAGGTGTTCTCAGCTGAGGTGGAGTCCTGGATGACTGGGGAGCAGTTTGCAGCCTGGATCCTAAATGCAAGGTACTGCCAGAGGATGGGAGAAGGTCTGGGGGTGTGAAAGAGGCTGTCACTAGTTCTAAGGTTCAGACTGGTTGGGACTGCAGGCTGGCATTTATGTGGAATAGTCACTCCTTACCCACTCCTTTGTGCTCTCTCCTTCACCCTCCATCTGTGTGCATACACTGTGGGCTTCTTTAGGAACAGAGGAATCACTGTTGTGATCTCTTAGAGCAGCTTCTTTAAAAAACAAAAAAAAAAAATACCACCAACAACCAAAAGAGAACAAATCTTGAATTATTCTAGTTGTGGGTTTTTTTTCCTGACCCTGGGCACTTAGTAGTTGATTCACACCATAAATCTAAAGGACTCAAGCCAGGATAGACAAAGCAAGAAGAAACTGAATGCAATCTTTTCCTTCTTCTCCCTTTCCTGTGCCTACCTGGACATCTTTCCTCTCCTTCCTTTCCCTCTTACCAGGGGCTGTGATAAGAAGACTCGAGGGTGGTCTGTCTCCATGTTAACTGGCAACACATGGCAGGACCTGCTGGGCTGTGACTTTGTGCTGGACCTCATTGGAGAGATGGAGGAGACCAGCAACTTCAGCAGCGCTTCCCAGTCCCCAGCTGAGTTCCCCATCACTCCAGAAAGGGACAGGAGCACCTACCAGTTCTCTGACCTGGATTCGTAAGTCACCTCTTCCTCCTGCCCCACCACTTGTGGCCCTGTCACCCAGTGGTTCATCTTTCTGGTCCTCATGTCATTTTCCTCTTCAACAGGATCCCTCCTGCTCCAGGCATCCAGGCCCCTTCCTTCCCACCCCCTAGCCTGCCTCCAGAATTCATGGATTTCCATCCAGGTAACCTTCAGCCCAAGACTGTGGATGACTCTGGGAAGGGCCGGGTGGGCCCCAGCAAGGGAATCAAAGCAGAGGGGGAGCCAGGTGATTCTTGTTGATGTAGAGCAGGGAAGGGCTACTCTCCAAAATGTGACTGTCTAACAGGGACTGGAGGCAGGGGAATGTTCCTTACCTGCCTTGTTCACCAGACTACTCTCTGTTCCTAGATCCGAGGATTAGAGATGACCTGAGGAGCCCCGTAGGCCTGGATCACTATGTGGATGATCTCTTCAGCCCTGTGCTGCATCAGGGCTCCAGACCATCAGTAAGTCCCCTGATGTCCATTCCCACTTTCCCTCTGCAGCTCTCCTGTCCCTGTGACTCCCTCAAGCATTTCTCTGCCTATTCACTTCCTCTGCTCAGGTCTCTCCCTCTCTGAGCTCAGGTAACTCTGTTGTTCCTTGATGCAGGATTTGGAGAACAGGGACAGTCTCACTGGAAGCATGAAAGGAGGTGGGAAGATTGGACCCACAAGGAGAGGAATCTTTCCTTCTACAGGTCTGTAAGGGGATGGGGACAGCTGGGAACACCTGTGGGGAACACCTGTTAGCCCCCTAAATGCTAATTATTGCATGAACCCAGCTGGTTCATAAAGAGCACTAGTCTGGAGTACAGGTCATCAGAAGTTGTACTCCTCACTTGCAGGTGCTGGGAGCCAGATGCTTTGGGGAAGGTGTTAGGCAAGGGAACCACCTTTGTTGTGCTTTTAATTTCTCTCTCAAGTTGGTCTGGGGGTCAAGGCAGTAGGTAGCTTGTTTCTGACCCAGGCCACCTCTTCCCCAGGCAAACGCTTGTGAGTCGTGTATTCACCTTCTATTCACCTTGTGCTTTCACAAAACAGTTGGTGCCTTTGTAAGGGGGGAGGGTTTTAATGTTTCTTATTGCTTCCTTACAGAATTTCCCATCATCTGTAGCTATTCCTTGGGTTAGTAAGTCTGAACCCTGCAGAAGTTCTGATTTGTGTGTTTGGTTTCTTTACTTTTCCTCATTTCTGTGGAGCTAAGACTCAGGCATTTTCAGCAGGGTGGAGTCAAACACCAGTATATTAATGGCACTGAGAAATCTGCATGGGTAGGAACACACCCAGCAGTTTCAGACAGGTGGAGAACATCCAGTTCAGTCATTACTGAAACTGGGACTGGTTTTGGCTATTGAAGAGGCTCTGGGGCATGACAAGGACTATTACAGATCACTGGCCTAAGGTCAGTTTGCCATTTGTGTGGCTACTTAGATGAGTGAGGGATGTGATGATCTCCCCATGGCATCCCAGGGCCATTCTCACTGGTGAGGACATGATTCAGCAGACCTGTGCTGTGTGCTGACTCCCTCCTGGCTGCCCCTTGCTCTGCTGCCTTTTCCCTCAGTGGGATTTGTTCTGTGGCCCCATATGGGACTTACCTGCTGAGAGAAGAGGAGTTCCTTTCTCCCCACAGCTCCTTCACACAAAGTCATCCAGGCCATGGCTTGTTGTTCACCTGCCCTTGCTACTTGCTGCAAAGAGACCATTATGGATGTGACAGCCCCAGTCCCAGAGATCTTTGCTCATCCCTCAATAAAAATCCTCCTCTGTAATTGTACACAGGCAGGAGTTATTCATATATTTCATCATGAAGGATGGTGGTGTCCTAAGCCAGGCTGCAGAAGCAGGGTCTGGATACTGCTGGTTAAAGTCTGTCAGGCCACACATTGTTCTTAGGTTTTCTTTCCCCACCTAAGTTTTGGGGTGTCCTGCTGTGGTTGGTGCATGTGGAGAGCCCCAGAGGTGACTGTGTTCTGTGGGATTGCTCAGGGCCTGATTCCCCAAAAGCTCTCTGCACATGGTCTTTTGTCTCTAGGTTTCTCTGGAATGGCTCAAGCACCAGTTTACCAGCCCATGCCTTCCATGATGGGGGTACCAGCAGCCATGCCCACGATGCAAGGGGCTGGTGGGATCACACCTATGCCAGGTAATAGCAGCGTAGCTGCAGAGGGAAGAGATGGAAAGGGGATGTCAGTGGGGCCTGTGCATTTCAGTGTCTGGTGGGAGGCTCAGTGAACACTCTCCTCCTGGCTGATGCTCAAACACTGTGGGGAACAATCCCCTGTGGGCTCTTGCAGATGTGTGTGTGTGTGTCTTCCACAGCCATGGTTATGCCCCAGCCCATGTTTCCAGCTGTAGATCCCAACCAGTTGGCAGCACAGCAGCAAGCCTTTATCAACCAGCAAGCCATGCTCATGGTGAGTGGGAGGGAATGGCTGGGAGGGGCCCAGGAACTGGGGGAGGACAACAAACACTGGTGTATGTGCCATGGAGGGGGAGCCCTGCTCCCCTCCTGCCTCAGGCCTGCCCTGTGACACTCTGTGCCTGTGTGCTGGGGGTGAGCTCTGTAAAGCTGGGATTACTTAAGGCTGCAAAACTGGGAACTCCCTTTTTGCCCCTTTGTTTACATGGGGCCACTGAGGCACCATCGGTGAGTGAGTCACAGGGACAAGAGCAGGCCCTGAGAAGATTCAGTGGTAATTCCCATGGGATTTACTACAGATGCAGATCTGCAGTGTTCTGCTTTCTGTACAAAGTTCTTAAGTGCCTGATGGTCCCAGGTTATCTGGTAGCTGAATCTTGGGGTGGTGTCAGGAGCTGTGCATCCCTGGCTAGGTGGGAGCAGACTCCCTGTCCATTACATGGGAAGTTTGCAATGGACTATGTAAATGTTCTGTGGTTACCAAGTGAAAGAATGGGGCAGTCTGACTGATGGCTGGTGGTTTTGTGCAGCCTGGAGCTCATGGACATTGCAATTCCTTCCTCCAGGCCCAGCAGATGACCCTTCAGGCCATGAGTATTTCCCAGCAACAGCAGCAGCAGCTGCAAAAGTCTCTTGAGAAGTCAAGGCCGACAGTCTCAAGTCCACCACAAGCCCAAGCCCCAGCCACTGCCCCAAAACCCAAGAAGCCTCCCACAAGCCAGGATGCTGCAACACCACCAGAGTCTTCAGAACCACCAGCTAAGGCACGAGAAACAAACAGTGGTGGTGAAGTTGGTTCGAATTCCTTGTTTGGTGTTTGCTTTGCTTCCCTCCCACCGTGGCCATGGTTTGGCAGAGAGGAGAGCAGAGAGTTGTGCTTACCAATGATTCTGAGGCCTTTCAAACTCTGCTTGCTGAGTCTTTAAGGCACGGGGTCAAACCTTGGTGGCATTTGCTCTGTGGAGGTTGGGCTGCAGTGCTGTACAATTAATTTCCAGCTGGGCAGAGTTTTTCCATATGAAAATTAATTACTCTGAGATCTTTATCTTCCAACAAGCTGCTTTGGTCCTCTAACATAATCCCCCTTCTCCGGGTTTGGTTGATGATTGCTTGTGTAAAAAACTAATTTCTTGGGACACTCCCAGATGGGGAGTTCTAGGTCAGAATTTGGAGAGAGGATCACCTCTGAACTGAAGGGCACTGTGGAGGTTCCTTCCTGCTGGTTAGTGCCAACTAACCATGTTGTGCACTGCCTGTAGGGTTATGACTACACGGGAGATGAGTTCTCCAGCAGTGGAGATGATGACTCTCCTCGGGAAACCTTCCAGCAGAAGAGACAATATTTTCAGAAGATGGGTGAGCATCTACCACTTTGGGAATTTCACTCATGATAACATCTTGCTCTGCAGCCTCCCCGGCATAACAAGGTGTTCTTGGCTCCCTGTCTGGAACCAGCCATGCCCAGCAGGAGCTGCTGGCACTGTGTTTAACAGGAATTTTGGGTGCTTGTTCAGCTGGCTACACTGTGGGGTGCTGTGGGGACAGTTTGCTGGAAATCTTTGGGCTTTTGACTGCCACACTCTCCTTCACCTCTAGAAACATAGGTTTGTGCTGACTGAGGCAAGAGTGGGAACTGTGCCATCAGTGCTAGATTTTGAGTGTGGTTTTAAGTAGTTCAAGTTCCCCTTTCTATGCAGGAGAGCAACACATCCGAGTGAAGAAAGTCAGGCCTCCTATCAAAACCTGGACTCCACCAGCAAATCCCCAGCCAGAGCAGGAGGAGGAGAAAAAACAGGAACAGCAGAGGAAAGAAGTGAAGCCTGTCCCCAAACCAGAGGCAGGTAAGATGCTGTGCAGTGGAGACTCAGGCAGGCTGACAAGCAGGAACTTTCCAGGAACATCAGGCCAGGATATAGGCAGAGGAAAGGATCTGGCTTTTTTGGGAGTCTGTATCTTGGCAGGACAGGAGAGAGAGGAATTTCTGGGCTTTGGGAAGTGGGATCCCAAAGCAAGGCAGTGGAAGGCCATGGCTAGTCAGCCTTGGGGTGAAAGAGAGGGAACTTCAAATGAGTCAAAGGGATTTCTCCTGTGCCTTTGCCGGTCTGTTGGTTAAAGCTGTCACCCCAATAGCTCCTGCTTTCCCTGTGCCATCTCCTGAGCCAAAGCCAATAAAGCAGACACCAAAAGTGAAGAAGGAGCCACCTGCAGTGAAGCCTTCAGGCCCCGAGTCGCGTCCTGCACCGAGCCGCGAGATCGGCAACATCATCAAAATGTACCAGAGCCGACCAGCCCCTGAGCCCCAGCCCATCGAGCCCGTAAGGTGAGAGGGACCCACCACGTGGGCTGGGGGGGGATGAGTGGGACTGTGTCTCAGCACTGCCACGTGCTCCATCATGGCCACAACCCCTCTGCAGCCTCTGTGACACTGTTCCCTGTTGCCTTGCAGGAGAGTAAACAAGCCATTTGTAAGGAGGAACGACCCCAAAAATGAGGCTCTGGCCAAGTTGGGAATGATGAACTCCTCATCTTGCCCATCAGTGAGTTCTTTGCTTTCTGGTCACCTTAAGAGTTCAGCAGAGAGAGCCTCTGTATCCAAGCTCCAACAGGCTGGGAGCTCCCTGGTCTCGCAGTCACAGCCAGGTGATTTCTTGTTGGGTTAACAGACAGCTGGGAGCTCATACCATGGTGCTGCCTATCCTAAACTGGGTTCCTGAAGAACCATCTGAGATCCTGAAGAAAAGGCTCAGGAGCAGCAAGTCCTATTGTGGACTATGTTTAAGGCTGATCTGGAAGCAAGCAATTCATGTTCTCCACATTTGACACCAAGGCCTTGGCCCGTTAACGTCCTTTTTCCCCTTCCCGGGGAAGGGAACTGGAGGCTTCAGTCTCAAATACTTGGTTCTCTGGGTTTGGCTGGTCTTCATCTTTTTGTAGACTGTGTGTTGATTTAAAGGTCCTGATGTCCCTGTTCACATAGATCTTGCTTCCAGGGATGGTGTGCTGCCCTAGGGGTGATTTATAACAGCAGTGTCAGGACAGAGCAGAGGAATGCAGAAACAGACTGGGTCAAATGGTTTTGCTGTCTTGCAGCCATCTCCTGTGCCACAAGAGAAGAAAGTACCTCCACCTATCAAGCCCAAGCCAGGCTCAGCTTCCAGCTCTATCAAGGAGAAGCAGTTGCCTCTCCTGTCCATCTTCAGGCCAGATTCTACCCCACCAGCGTCTGCGGGCCTTCCTGTTCCCCCTCCTCTCCCACCACTGCCTTCACCTCTAAAGCCTGAGGACCAAGGCAGGCAGGAATCCACAGAGAGGGGTGAGTATTGACTTCACCCACGTGGGATTGGGTAGTGGGGCAGAGAGGGGATGGGTTTGGAATCAGCCCAGTGGCCCTGGAGAGTCTTGGCACATGTTCTGTCATCAGTCAGCTGTGTGAATCCAGGGGGACTGTGCAATCAGATCTGTGTGGAATCAGAGAGATGTCACAGTTCCAGTCTGGCCCAGGAATCAGCTTGGCACTTCCCTGCTCTAACTCTTCCCTTCTGAAAAACACAGCTAAAAATAGAAAGATCCTTTGGGCTTTGTCACGGTCCAGTCCACAATACTTTTTATTGCCTACCTGAAGCGTAACTACTTTATCAAAGTAGCAATTGACAGGTGGACTTTAGACCAGGGAGGAATGGGAAGCCAGGTGTGTCATCTGACAAAGCCTCTGGAGGGACCTTAGAGAGGCTGAGGAGTGAGGAATGTTTCTCAGAGGGAGAATGAGCCTGAGAGACCTTGGACTTGGCCACATGAAGAGTCTTTGGATGTTGCCCTCTTAAAAAAAGCATAGCTAATGCTTCCCAGCAGGAGTTTTGAAGTGTTATTCAGTCTTCGTTTTGCCTCTGAATTTCAGTGGGAGCCTGGAGCCACAATTCATCTTATACTTTGGATACCTGTACCAATGTATTTCAAGCTGTTTAAAACTCTCATCAACATTCCTTTTTATAACATGCAAGGAACAGTCAGCCAAACACACCACTGAAGTACTCCATCCTGCAGCAGTTTCTCTGGTATTAAAGAATTTCCCTTTTTGCTCCCCCTCTCTTTAAAAGAACGTTTCTTCAGCAAGTCCTGTGAAAGTAAATAGAAGTAAGTGGATTAGCCTGAAAAATCCCTACATGCTTTTGCATAGGAACATAGAAACAGTTGAACTAGGGAATTTACTACATTTCTTCTCTAAGAGCTCTGAAGTTTTGAAAGTTTGAAGTGCTTAAATGAAGACATTCCTACCTCACAAAGCAACAACTTTGAACTTTTGCCTTCAGACTGAGCCTGTCTTCGATAGATCTGCAGAGAGACAACCCAGTGCTAGTACTGGGTGTCCTGTACCAGAACCTTGCAGCCTGCAAGCTCAGGGCAGAACTTTTATGTCCCTTTGAAACCTTCAGCAGCTTTTTTATAGTAACATAAAGTGAAACCTGTGCCTTCAACCTCAAGCACAGGGGTACGGTTTTTCCTGGGAAACTGAGTGCCCCTGGAGTGCTTATGTTACAAACACTGAACTTTGTGGCTAATACAGGAAGTGTAAATGTTATCAGAAATGCTCAGAATGACTGGTCTGTGCTCACACCAGCTGGTCACTGACCTTCAGGAGGGTTCCTGACAGTAATATTCAGTCAGGCACCAGGCACTGTCCCCTTTCCCCCTGCAGGTCTTTGGCAGGTGGGAAGGTTACCCCGCAGCCCTCAAGGCCCATTTTCACTGCTCTTTCTCCTCACACAGACTCTGCTGTAACAGTAGCAGATGATGATGGCATCAAGACCCAGCTGTACAAGCTCACCACCAGCGTCAGCTTCTCCTATGCAGACCCTGCCTGGAAAATCTTCCTGCGCAAAGAGGTGCAGTTCAACAGCCAAGGGCTGGCTGTGGTGGGAGGGAACTTGTCACACCTTTGGTTAGAATATGTTTTTGGTAGGCACCCAGTGTAAGATAAGAGCACAGAGATAGTTCTGTGAGGAGGTCACAGACACAGGAGATGGGGGCAGGGGATCATGTCATGGGGGATATGGGTCCTGCCCTGCCTTACTGACACTTGTGTCTCAGTTTCCCTACCTGTCCTTTCCTCCTCTCCAAAGCACTGAGAAATCCAAAACTAAACTGTGTTGTTACCTGTTGTTTTCCTGTTAAAATAGTACAAATGTGTATTGAAGAATGCACTGAACTGACCAGGGTTCATCCCTTGGTCTCCCCACTCAGGTTTTGGTCCTCTGCTCCTGGTCCTTCTTTTCACATTCACGGTGTCTCTCCCCTTGCCTGTCCTCTCCTCTCTCTGGCAGCAGTGCATATGGATTTCAAAACATCCCTGGGGAGCTATTTCTGCAGCATCTGTAACACCACTCTTGTTTTTATCCTCCTCTTGCAGGTGTTTTACCCCAAAGAAAATTTCAGCCACCCTTATTGCCTGAACTTGCTGTGTGAACAGGTATGCATCTGTGTGAACAGGTTTGGCTCAAGGCCTGTTGTCTCTCTGGGAACAAAACATTCCCTAATTATGTTGCATAAGTTGCCTTCACTTCTTCATCCCAAGCAGTGTTAGTCTCTTCTCCAGGTCCATCCAGTCAAGCCCCTGTTCACTCCTCTCCGAGTCTCAGTCTGTTTAACAGCCTCAGATGCTCCAGCACAGTCAGATGTGGCCTTTGCAATGGAAGCCTCTCTGTTCCCTTCCTCTGCAGATCATCCGTGACACTTTCTCCAACTCCTGCTTTCGGATCTCCAAGGAGGAGAAGCGCAAGATGAAAGATCTACTGAGTAATTAACAGCCCCATCATCCCTTCCTCCCTGTGCCCATCCCAGCTTTTGGTTTGAAATGAGAAACTGGCCTCCAAGCCCTTTCAGACAGGACTTCTCAGACAGAGGAGTAATATTTGTCACTGCAGCAGGAAAGCACATTTTTGTGTGCTGTGAAGTGTAGGAATGTTTGTTTATTCCAAATGGCCAGAAAAAGGCCCTGACATTTCTCTGAGCCAGAAAAACTTAGTTCTGAAATGGTTTTTTGTGGAGAGAGGAAACTGAAACCCAAGGATGAGATTTTGAGTTGTCTCAAAATCCGACTGTCATCTTTGACTGCAGCTTCATGAAGAAGGGGAGGGAAACCAGCAGTAGACCTGGTGTGTGCAAGTAATGTGGTGTCCTCACACCTCTGAATGTCGTTTTCTGTGCTGTGAACACTGAGGGGGCCTGGTGGGAATGAGTCCCTGGCAGAGGGAGTCTCAGCCATCTTTGCCATGCTGATCAAATATCTGCTTTGTAACCCTGCTAGCGGAGTTCCGGGTTGGAAATGATGTCCAGTCCATCAAGGAGGATGGAATAAAGAAGAGGATTGTACTGGCTGCTCGGGATAACTGGGCCAACTATTTCTCCCGCCTCTTCCCAGTTCATGTGAGTCTTCATTTTCTCACCAGACCCTGGGCTTGCTTTAGCTGTGGCTCCAGTTCACCTGGGATCTCTTTCTGTCTCCCTGCCTGGCCACACATCACTCCTCCTTCTGCACCTTCCATACCCTGCAGGGTTTGACAGCTCTGTCAGCCCAGGGTCTCCTTGTGTGGCACCTCCTTCCCTTGCTGCCACCTGTCCAGGTGGGACACAGCCTTTGATTCTCTCTGCTGCACTTCCCTTACAGGGTGAAGAGGGAAGTGATGTGCAGGTCCTGGGTGTTTCTCACCGGGGCATTCGGCTGCTGAAGGTGGAGAAAGCAGCCATGTATAATCCTGAGCACCTCAAGATTCTTCGCAGCTACTGGTGAGCAGAAGGGCACTGGTTGCTGCAGGGTGATAGTTTGGCACTTGCAGGGTGTTGGGAGGCAAACTGAATGGCTGAGCTGAAAATTCCAAGTTGTGCTGTGCTCTCTAGGACTGTCCTAGGCCAGCTGTGACTCACTGACCCTCCTAATGAGTTTGGCTTTTCCTTTTCCTTCCTACCTCGTGCTTTGCTTATAAACAAGTGCTGGGGGTGAGTCAGCTCCATGTGTGTCATCACAGGGAGCTCCTCAGGGTACTGTGGTGAAAGCCATGAGCAGCCTGTGGTGCTATTAATGTTGGAACACAGTGCTGGTGAAAGGCAACCATTGGGACATGCTGAAGCATGTCTCCATTCTCAGTCCCTGGAATGAGCTCCCATCCCCACTTTCTGCATCCCTGGCCCTGGCAGGAGGAGCCTGAGCACACTGACTTGTGTTCTCAGCTTTGCAGATGTGCTGTCAGTGGAGCTGAAGGGCAGCAGTGCCCTGGAGTTCTCTCTGAAGACAGAGCAGCTCCTCCTGCACTCTCTGAAGGCTCCGTGCATCAAGGCCATGGTGGAACTCTTCATGCAGGAGCTGAGGCAGGTGAGGGAGCAGCTGTAGTGCAGTAGGGAAGGAAGGCGGTTTCCCACATGGACCTGAGAGCATCCAAGGGAGGACATGAGTCCTTCCCTTCCTTGGGACAAGACCTGACCTCCCCATCCTTTTCCCCCAGGACACCAACTACGTCGTTGCTCTGCGCAGCTACGTCGTGGACGACAAGAGCCTCCTCAGCTTCAGGAAGGGCGACCTCATTGAGCTGCTGCCCATGCAAGGCGTGGAGCCAGGTGAGGGGGCTGAGATTGGCAGGATCAAGGGCCTGCTGGATCCGTAGTGCCCAGAACCAGAGAGTATGGACTCTCAAGGGCAGGCTGGCATAATGAGCCTCTGCCTGCAACCCACCTTGTTCCAGCTGCCTTAGCTATAGGGGTATATGTGTTACCTTAGGATGCAGGAAACCCTGGCGAGTCTGACGATCTCCTTTGCCAGCAGAAAGCTTCAGTGCCCATTCCTCTTGGCAGCTGCCATGGTTCCTGACTCTCTGGCCCCTGTTTCTACAGGCTGGCAGTTTGGCTGCACTGGTGGCCGCTGTGGTCTCTTCCCCACTGACCTGGTGCAGTTGGCTGCAGCCCCTGATTACCTCAGCACCAACATGGACAGACGTGCAGAGCTACAGAAGAGAAGGAAATCTTCCCCAGAGAGCAGAAACACCAGCAGGGAGGTGAGCTGTCTTTGGGGAACATCTAGGGGTTATGGCTGGGTTCTGTGAGAGCTGCCAGGGTGGGTCCATACCCCTGGTCTGACCTCCAAGGCCAGAGGGAGGATGATGATTGTTTAATCCTTGGAGACAGAGACACTCAAATACTATCATAGTGGGAAGGGAGGCACCACACATGGATGGAGTCTGGCAGGTGAGAACACACACTGCAATTCCTCAGCTGATCTTTTTGGTGATGTCCCTGCAGAGTTCTGTTCCCAGCCTGACATCAGAACCCGACAGCACCATGTTAGTCCCTGCTGGTGATCGTTATACCATGATTGACTTCGCCACAGCCTATTTCCGGGAGGCTCAGTCCATGTGAGTAGGCTGTGGTCCTTCCCAAACAGGCATACACAGGACCTGTGTAGCCTGACCCACACCAGGCTATTTCTGGGGGTATTTCTTGGACTGCATGTTCCCTCTCCTCTGTCTAGGCAGAGACTGCAGGGGATGTCTGCTGAAAAGAAGAGTATAGCTGGCCTGGTCCGGCACACCAAGGTGAGCCCAGTCTCTCCCCGTGGATACAGCCAGAATCCCAGCTCCAGCATTGCCTCTAGCTTTGTCCCCACATGGCAAAAGCACAGAGGGCAGATCCTTGGCTTGCAGTCTCTGCAGAAGTGTAGGTGTCCCCTACTTTTCAGTGCTGCCTGCAAGATTCTGGGAGCTTGAGTCTTTGGTGAAACCTGCAGCACAGGTGAGATCCACCTCCCCAGTTTATCCTTGTACTCTGGCCCTGTAGGTCCCAATCCAGACGTCTTTGCTCTGGTACTCTGACAGTGAGCTGAATGAGCTGGCTACAAAGAACTTCCAGAGTAAGTACCTCCCTAGGACACAACACTGCAGAGGCTGGGGGGGTGGGGGGTGAATGGGATGCTGTGGTGGGCACACACAGGCATTGTGGGGCTGAGTAGGGAATGAAACCTGTGTCGGGGGGGCCCCTCCTAAGGCACTTCTGCAGTTAATAACCACCTGTGTCCTTGCTGAAAGCATCCAGCAAAATGTACTTTGCTTGGAGTGCAAAGTGTCCAAGAACACACCCTTGCCTGGGCTGTGGACAGACTACACCTGTCCAATGCAAACCTTGGAGCAGGAAAGTTTTCAGGACAGTTTTTAGCCCTCTGCCAGCCCCATGGCAGGACCACCCCTGCTTAGACCTAAATGTCAGCCTTTGCCTTGCAGCGCTGATGCGGCTCATGGGAGATCAGCCCAAGCACAAGGACCAGACTGAGGTTGAATGTATCTATGAAATCCTAAAGGTTTGTGACCTTCCCTCGGGCAAAGTGCTGAAGCACCAACAGGAACAGAGGGCCAAGGCCTCGCTGGGAAGGGAGAGAACAGGGAGAGCCATAATGCAACTCCTGCATGAGAAAGGGAGCTGAAACAGACTGATTAAAACACATGGAGGGGAGGGGTTGCATGTAAATGGTTTCCCTGGATATCACTGTCTGGATGAGAGCACAACCTCCCTCTCCTCTCTCCTTCTTTGGGTCTAGATAGCATGAGGGACCAGAGGCTGAAAAGCCCAAGCTTTAAGCCAGATGGGCAGAGCTCTGGCACTGGAAGAGGAAGGGCACAGAGGTGATCTGGGGGCCTCTCTGGTGCTCTTGTCCCCTCTCTAATGCTGTTTTCTCCTCTCTGAATGCAGCTATGCAAGGAGAAGGAGCATTTGCACGATGAGGTCTACTGCCAGGTCATCAAACAGGTCACCCACAACCCTAAACAGTGAGTACCAGAACTGACAGCTCCTCTGCATGCACAGCTGGAGAGGAACCATCTACTTCAGGGACACCAGGGCCAGGGGAGAGGGTGTTCCCTGATGCTGTGCTGTCCCCAGTGCTCCAATGCTGGGGCTTTTGCTGAGCACTCAGGAAATTTAGCCAGTCACTGGGTCTGACATTTTCATTTCAGTGGACATTTGTCCTTGTTTTTCTGGCTGCTGATATATCTGGGCCCTGGTAAACATCCCTGGTAGCTCCTGGTAGTGATGCTGCTCAGAGCCCTGATTTCCTCCTCACAGCCCTGGGGAATTGATACAACAGTCAGGGACTGGCTAGACCCCACACTGCCCTGTGAAATGGCAGCAGTGGCATCAGAGTGGCCTTGACTGTTCCCTTTGTTTGCTGTTAGAAGGACTGAATCAATCCCTTGCTCAGCATAAGAAACCTCTGACCAAGGGCTGCCACCCCATTTTCTGCTGCCTGCCATAGGTGTTCAGAAGGGCAGAGGCTCAGTTTGAGCTGCTAGGAGCAGGAATTGTCTTATCCCAAGGTGCCCACAGTCCCTTCTGTTCCTCAGGGAGAGCGTGCTGCGTGGCTGGTTGGTCCTGAATCTGCTAACTGGATACTTCCTTCCTACTAAAACCCTGATGCCCTATGCCACCAAGTTCCTGCAGCTAGCCAGCAGTGATCCATCCAGCACCCACCAAGGTATGACTATCTGTGTCCTATAAAACAAACATTCTAGTTCTAATCTTCCCATCCTGTCACTCCTCTGTTCTCCTGCTGTCCTGGATGCTGTCCGTGCCTGGCTCCTCATGATTTAGATGTGTCCTGGCAGAGTGGGAGTTGAGGTCAAGTCTCTTTGCTCTCCTAGCAGTGCCCAAGGGTTAAATTTGACACAGCCAGGGTGACCCAACACCACAGGACACAATGTTTAGGTTCTCTCTTTGGCTCAGCACATGGAGCTTTTCCCTCTTCCTGCAGATATAGCCAAGATCTGCCAGAGCAACCTGCGGAAGAACTTCATGTACGGGGGCCGCCGAAACCTTCCTTTCCCTGTGGAGATGGAGGCACTGCTGGTACTGAGGGGCAGGGAAGGGGGGATGCTGGGAACAGGGGGAGGGCAGAGGGTTGCCAGGAGGTGCCATGTGAGTGTGACAGGGGCAGCTAGTGCTCCATGAGAGGAAATGAATCATGTGGATGTAAGGGGGTTTGGGAAGTGCAATGCCACGGAGCGAGCAGGAATATGGGCAGGGAAGGGGCAGGTACTGTGGAGAAGCAGTGGAAGGCACAGATGAGGAAGAAGAGGGAGAAACAATTGTGGGGCTGGTGGGATCCTGCACGTCTTGCTGCCTAAAGACTGTCCCTTGCAGAAGGGGCACGGTGCCCGCCGGCTGGTGATACTGATGCCTGGAGGCATGGAATACCTCACCAGGATCAGGACATTCACAGTGAGTTTTCAGCTGTGACTTTCTTCTTTGGTCTGGACTCTGAGCCACACCAGGGAAATCCCTCACCTGCCAAGGGGTAATATGTCTACCTGCTCTGGGGCTGCTTTGGGCTTGACTGGTCATGGTATTCATTTTCTTCTTTCCTTGCTTCAGGTGGCCAAGGAGCTCTTGCAGGAGATCTGTGAGCAGATGGGAGTAGTTGAACAGGAAGAGATGCAGGACTTTTTTCTTTTTGCTATCAGGACTGACAAAAAAAATCTTGGCAAGTAGAGATAAGCATCAAGTTTCTTCCAAAAGCAGTCCCTGCAACAGGGAGCACCATGGCTCTGGCTTTCAATAGTTCCCTGACCCTTCCTGGCTCACGGGAGGTTCCTCTTAAGCAGTTTCCCTCTGTATTAGGGTTAAGGATTGATCCTTCTCAGGATCTGTGTTGCTTGTTCCTGAAAGAGGTGTGTGGGTCTGTGTCCCTTTGGAATGGCTGATTCTTGGAGTTGTAAGGGCAGGGGGGAACAGAGGTGTGCAGGAACTGTCCCAGGCCGTGGTGCTCAGCCCGCTGCCTCAGCACCAAGAGGGATGGATGACCCTCTCTCTGTGTAACATGTAGGTAAAATAGTGAAGCCAATAAAACCAGAGGAGTATCTCCACGATTACCTGCTGGAGGACAAGATGGTCACCGTGACTTTGCGCAGGCTCACCTGGAGGACACCTCTGCACTTCGAGAACCAAATCTATACAGACGTCCACTATGGACAGGTAAGAACAGCAGGGCCCTCCCCAGGGCTCCCTGACAGGGACAGAGGTTGTGTTCAGGCCAGTGGGAATGTCCCAAGGGGGCTGGAAAAGCAGGAGGGCTTTGGCTGATCAGCTTTGTGTGCTGTTTCTGGGAATGACTGAACACTGAACCTATGGATGCACAGAAGGCAGTGTGCCTGTGGGCCTAGCCTGGGAGCTGGGCTGTTCCACACACGGTTTGTGCAGCTCCACAGGCTCTTCCTGAGCCCAACCTGCCTTTGCTTTTGCGTTATCAGCCCGAATGGGATGTGTTATCATCAGGAAGGCAGGATGTGGGTCTCTGCAGCCTGGCACTGCCCAGACCTGCCTGTACCTTCTGGCAGGTTTAACAAAGGCCTCTTTGCTGTGCTGTCTCTCAGGTGCTGTGGGATTACCTGAATGGGAGGATCCTGCTGACCCAGAGTAAAGAAACAGAGATGCAAGTGGGCCTTTTGGCAATGCTCCAGCACTGGGCCAAACCAGAGCAGCAGAACTCTGCTCCCTCCGGGTATGTTAGGGTCAGGGTGGGTCTCTGCTTCTCTGATGTTGGCACCACAGGGGTTAGGAGCAGGTGCCTGGAAGTACTTCTGGATAATTAAGGAATGGACAGTTCTGGAGAACATAAGCTATTAATTAATGTCATGTAGCAACTGACTCCTGCCCCTAATCAAGAAATTTACCCCATATTCACACCCTTAATGCTGGCAATCTCTGCTCCACATTTCCTTTTGTCACTCCTCCTGAGCTGAGGGTCATGAGGGTGCCATGGGCATTTCATTTGACTGCCATGGGTTTGTAATACCCAAAGGAAGTGCATGAGCTTATAGTTTGGGTGACTGCTCCTTTGGGTGACAAAGGAGGGGGTGGAGAGACTCATTCCCCTCACAAGTGCCAGAGGTTTCAACCCTGGGCACCTGAAATCTCTAATGAGATGTCTCATTGGAATGAAACGGGAATGAAATTGTCCCTGGATACTGGAAAGCTTCTGTCCTGCAGTCCCAAGGTGTATATTCACACTCTTTGCTTCCTGTATCCTTTGCACTTTGTCTCAGAGTTGAGGTTAATGTCTCCATCAGATCCCCTTAAAGCACCAGCAGCAGGGAAAATGGCATAACCCTGCTGGGCATTGAAGAGCTCCTGCTATCTCCAGAAAGGAGGGATTTCTCTGTGCACTGCTCAGTGGTGCACAGCTGATTTCTCTATGGAAAATGGTGGTCTCACTGTCTCTGATGTTTCCTTCCACCTGACCCAGTGCAGATAAAACCTGCTGTGCTTTTCCTCTCCCCCTTCACCCTTCCCCTCAGACACACAATTGAAAATTGCTGCCTCATCCCCTTTGTTCCCTTAATCCCCCAGCTGATGTTCTATTTTAGCTGGGCAGGGGGTGAATTAGAATCTTCTGATTGGCACAGGGAGGAGCTGAAGAAATACACACCAAAGACCCTGCAGCACTCCATCAGTTCCATGGCTCTGGAGAACCAGGTTGCCACACTGCTGAGGACAAGGCAGCCCCTCCAGCCACTGGATGCAAAAATCCAGTTCATAGGTGAGAAGACATCCAGATCTGCTTCAGTTGTCCGTCCTGAGCATGATGGAAGCTGTTCTGAATGTGCTTTTGGGACAGTTCATGAGGTTGTTGAGGATTCTTGGAGCCTGGAGCGGGCCATGGCAACAGAATTCCCTGACAGCCTCTCACTGTGGATTGGAACTTGTTCCCAAGCACAGGATCAGGGTAGAAGTTCCACCTGTTGTAGAATTCTGCAGCAGATTGACAAAGCTCCCTATAAGTTGTGTTTTAATTGACACTCTGGCTGCACATCTGTTTTCTGGTAGGAAAAGAATGGCACATCCTTTCAGGCTGCTGAGATTTGGGTATCAGCAGCCTGGTGGGGAGGGAGAAGTTGTCACTCCTACTTTTTAATGTAGAAAAGCTTGGGAACACTGGCAGTTTTGACCACCTTAGGCTGGTGTAGTAGATTGCTGGCTGGAAGCTGCTCCCTTTCAGGCCACCTTTTGCTTTCTTACAGAACATGTGATGAAATTGCCTTTCTTTGGCTACACCATGTTCATCGTGGAGAGAGTCAGCGATGAGACGATCCCTGCGCCCTGTTTCTTTGGTGTGAATAAAGAGGAGATCATTGTGGTGAATGGTATCACCAAGGTATGCCAGACAACTCCCCCCAGTGTCTGTCAGATATTAACTTTGAGTTTTAGAAGAACCCGTGCAGGAAGAGGCTGTACTTCTCTGTATCACAGCCACTCTAACAAGAAAGCAAGAGACAAGAGTGGTAGAACAGTCATTAGTGCCGTGTGCTCTTTTGCAAGTCCAATGTTCATGCTAACAAGCACAGTCCACAGTAAACCTGTGTGTCACATTCCTGTTTGTCCCAGTGCCGTGGCAGTTCCAGGGCTGTGCTGTCAGCAGGAGCCTGCCCTGTGTTCTGCACACACCACCCTGTGCCCCAGACCTTGCTCAGCTTTCACTGGGCTCTTGAGGTGACTCCTTCTCGTGGAGAATCCGATGGTTTAATTTGTAAGGACTGCACCAGAGAGTGGTCTGTGGCTTTTCTCCTCCCCAGGCCGTGTCCCAGGTCATTCCCCTGAAGGAGGTGCAGAAGATGCGCACCCTGAAGCCCATGTCCAAAGATGGACTTCCCGGCTTGGAGCTGAACTATGGATCACCTGCCACCCCCAAGACCATGTGGATTGAACTGAAACAGGTGAGATCAGCCTGGGCCTGCAGCTTCCTCTTGGCAACTCAGGAATTGCCCTCCACTGCCCAGCTGAGCCTCTGCTGAGACAGTGCTTCTGCTCTCTCCTGCTCCACAGAAGGAGGGAGGGGATCACTGCATTTCCCAGGCTCCAAAGTGCAGCTTTGTTCCAGCATGTACCTGATATTTAATTATGGAAAGTGGTTTATGGGAATATTTAATTATAAGCAGCAGCTGTTTCTGGGGCAAAGAATGACTGATGCTGATTTGTGTTTTGACAGGCTAAAGAACTGTACCACACGCTTGTTGTCATCCTGGACAAAACAGAGCTCCACTCCTAGAGCTTAAAAGGAGGAGAATGACCAAGGAAAACAGCTGTGTCTCTCTTCCTTTGTACTTGATCAGTGCTCCCTGACCTGCCTTCTGCAGAGAACACTTCCAGAAGACAGCCATGACCTGAGACAGCTGCTTTCTAGGGCTGCCACCACAGTGTTTGTTGATGGAGTGTACCACAATCTCACCCCTGGTGACCTGCCATTCAGTACCCAAGTACTTCCCTGAAGCTGTGGATAAACAAACCACAAGGCCCTCTCCACACCACAGTTCTGACAAAGAGCAGCTGAACCAATGCAAGCACTTGCCTTCAAGCAAGAAGTCCTCTTTTCTTTTTTGAATTAATTAACATTAGCAAAGCCTGGTGCTTGCTAGAGATTTGTGTATCCCAATGCCCAGCTGAGGCTATGCAATGCCTGCACTGGCTGCTGGTGTTTTCCAGAGGCCAGTTTTGTCTCTGCATTGATATGCATAAGGCCCTGGAACAGGATTGGTGAAGCAGGAGTTTACAGAAAGCACCTTAATCGAAAAGCAGATCAGTGTTAATAATACAATTAGCACATATGCTGGGGCACAGATTGAGCTGCAATGGCACGAAAGTTTATTGTTAATTAATTTCTCACTGACATAATTATATGCATCTGCTTCCCTCTACTATAAAGAAGTCAGTCATGTCCATGCAGCTGTCAGGCTTCAATGATGGCTCCATGCCCACAGAGGAAGCACATTCAAACAGCACTCATATTATAGTAGAGTGTTTTGGGTCGTACAAAAATGCCTAATTTATTTTTATTGCCCTTTAGGAAATTGCAATAAAGTAATCACAGATACGTTTTGAAGGTGTGGCGTGACAGATCTTGCATCTTAATCCAGGAAAACTGACCTGCAAGTAACAGGCAAAGCTTGAGGAAAAAAGGCTGTCACTGTTGGCAGGGAAGGGGATAGATCTGAGGGTGCTCAGTGCAAGCCATGAGGTACAGCTGGATTCTTGCTGGTGAGGTGATTCCAGCAGGAACTGCAGCATCTTCCCCATCAGGTACTTCCCTTCGAGTGCTGCTTAATGGATCTTACACCAGTCTGTATGAGTGAGTGGTAAGAAAAAGCTTCCAGGAACAGTCCACAGCAGCTATAACATTATTTTATTGTCAGTTCTGCATATACTTCAGTACATCTAAAAAAATACATCTGTGGAGTACAGTGCTCCAAAAGCCTGACCGATGGCCTCTCAGCTGCAGATCCCTCAGCAGCAATAGTGCCTGAGGCCACCAGCCTCTGTGGGCATGGAACAAAGGCAGAACCCAATAAAAATCCAACAGGAGGGACTTGTGCCAGGGAATCAGGTTAGGTCCCATATAAACATAGCAGCAGAGACACCACAGTGTCAATTTGAGGGCCACAGCAGTACCTGAACCAGTTCTAACAGCAGCATTGCCCTCTGTATTGCAGACTTTTGGTGAGGCACAGGGGGCAAATATGGCTTTAGGGGTTACAAGAAAATGCTGGAAAGTGCTGTTGAGGTTAACACTGAAAGAGCATCACCACTTAAGTTAAAGGGCAGACAAAACCAGACAAAGTTTAAAAAAAAGTTCACATTAAAAGAAAAAGAATTCCAGTTTCTTCACCCTCAGAAAGTAGGCATTGCCTGCACGGTAAGAACAAAACACTTCCCTCCTGCCCTTCAAAGGAAAACATTCCATCCAGGAACTCAACCATGGAGTTTGTCATTGGCAGCCCTGAGCAAAGCATAAGAACATGTAGCATAAGGCTTCTAGTGGTAACACTGAAATAAGAACTAAGACAGGGAGTGAGGGGAGGAGCCATCTAGGAACAAGATGCCATCCCAAAGCAGAGTCCCAGTTGGAAAGTCTGAGCCCTTCCCAGACTGCTGCAGGGAGCAGAGGTTGGAGACAGTGCAGAACATCTCAGGCAGCAGCCCCTAACAAACACAGCAGATGCAACTTCACACCTCTTGGTCCTCTAGGGCTTCAGCACCCCAGTTATTGGAGAAACTCTCTAAGTTCACAGAAACTGGTTTCCTGGAACTGTTTGTCACTAAGGACAGAAGTGAGCAAAAATGCAGTGGGGGGAAAAAAAAAAATCTCGCTTCTGCAGTCTCACAAAACTCTCCATGGCAGAGTTTTTCAAGATCCCATGGTCATGCTGCTGGAGGAAGAAAGACAACCAACAGGACGCACAGATCAGCTCTCCCAGCTCTGCAGCTCCTGCCAGTCTGCCTCACTCTCACACCTGACCCTTGTTTTGAAAAACTCCTTGATGAGTCTCTGTGCTTCCTCCTTCACTGCAAGAGAGGAAACATCACCTCTGAGTCGAAACTTAAGACATCTGCCACCTCTAAAGACATCCATCCACTTGGCATTGAAAGAACCCCAGGCTCTCAGTGCTCTCACCTGTCTTGCGGGCAGGGTTCTGCTCCTGGGTCAGTAAGTGAGACAGGTGCCGGGCAAAGCCCTTAAACAGCTCCTGCAGAATCAGGGAAGACAAAGAGCAGAAAGCAGACATCAGTTACCAGACTGTTCCCATGTTTGTCTTGCCCTCAGCACGGGCTGGCTGCAGCACACACCATTCCTAGACTGAGACTACAGGGGTGTTGCACACCTGCAAACACACCCGACCCTGCAGTGCTGGCACACACAACCTGCCTTGCAGGACACATCAAGGAAACTACACCAGAATTGAACCTGAGCTGTTGCTGCTCCACAGGTGGGAGTTAAAAGTGTGTCAAAGCTTAATGTGAAAACATGAACAACCATAAATAATATCATAAATAAATGATACCACTCCAAACACACACAAACCTTTTTGTGGGAGAGGTGAGTTCCTGTACCTGGAGTCACTGAAACAGCACATACCAAGATGCAAGTTGGAAATGAAATGTGGTATCCAGATCATCCCCCCTTCTTAGAGCCCCAGATCACTATGAGCTGTAGTCTTCTGCTAAAGAGGGTCATGAGCTGTGCCCTACCTTGGAAGCAAATTTGCCACCCTTGTAGAACGGGGTCAAATATTTGACAACGATGTCTGCAGTGTCTTTGAGGGACACGCCTTTGGTCACTGGCTGTACAGTCTTGCTGGTTCCTTCTTTATCACACCATTCTAAGTTTGAATCAAAAGTCACCTTCTTCTTTGTTGGACCAGCACTTTTGCATTCTGGCTGGGACAGAATAGAAGGTTTTGCCGCTGTCCGCAGCCGCTTTGTTGCGGGACTTTCCATATCCTGGAGAGGAGACAGAGAAGAATCAAACCTACCACTTCCTGGAGCAGCATTCCACTTCCAAGCACCCACTATTTGCCACACAAAGGGACTTTGAGACTTTTCTTTAAGAACATCACATTTAGAATTACCCCGTGCTCTTATAAGGGCAGCTAATTGCTAGACCCTGTCGTATACAGGAAAAACTGACTGGAAATGATTTTTCAGGATCTCTGCTGAGAATACACCCCTCAGGAAGAATCAGCCATATCAGGAGTGCCACATGCCTGTTCAGTTTGAAAGAAAAGAAGACTGCACTGTTGCAGAGACAGCTGCCAGGCAGTCTCAGATGCCAAATGCAGAAGCAGAGACTGAATGGCAAGGCAGGCTGCGAGTACAGGTCGCTTCCAAATGGTCCCGTGTGTCATTGGCCTGTGGTTGTTCCCTGAACTTGAGAAAGCAGCTGCTAATTATAGTTCATTACAGATCTAGAGGGGGTCGAGAGACTCATTCCAGGCAAGTCACCAGCAAGGGCACAGTCACATGTGTTGCACACAGGAGGAAACAATGCAGTGGAGGGGAAGCTCTCCACTGCAGCCCAAGGTGCTGCCATGGCCCAGCGGGCAGCAGGGAAACACCAGGACTGCAACACAACTGGGGTTCTCTCTGGTGCAACTGCAGCTGGGCCCTCCCCAGATAAACAACACTCTCAGGTGAGGTTCAGAGAAGGAGCATCACTCTCAGAGAGAAATTTGGCACGAGATGAGCAGAAGAAACAGAGGAAATTAGCATTCATTGAAGCCTTACCTCAACTGATCCTGCCCGCTTCCCACTCTCACCTTCCCCAACAACAGGTAACTCAGTTTCTGAGACATTTTCAGCAACACTAGTGGGAATAGTGAAGGCCAACTGTAATTATTCCACAGAGCAAATATCCCTGCATTTGTTGTTAGTGGCTATGAGACCCTCCATGGTAAAGCAAGAGTCTCCCTCACCCACCCAGAGATCTCATACAGATTCCCAGTTTCCAGGACAAGGCCGGTGGGACTCTGCAGCTTAACAGGGCAACACGGGGAGCAGAGAGATAGGGATTTTACCTGGACTTTACATCAATTTCTTCCTGAAGGAGTTCAGATTCAGCAGCTTGCTGGGTCTTAAAATCCTCCCCCTTCTCAGTCTGTGTTACTTCTGTTTCTCTCAGTTCTTTATTCTCTGCCTGGGACTGTCCAGTCAGAACTCCGGAGACATCTCTGCCTTCCTGAGATGTTGGTTTCTCTTGACACATGCTTTGAGAAGAAACCTGAGGTAGTGTGCTTGCAGAACAGCCCTCTTCCTTTGCTGAGCTGCGACTTTTGGCTTTAGAGCCACCTTTGGAGAGGGAGAAGAATTTGGAAATATCTTGTGATTCTTTTTTAGCTGCTTCTGCGAGCATTTGCTGCTTCTTGCTACGTTTGGACTTCTTAGTGGGGCTCTCCCAAAGTGCAGCCTTTGTGTCTGGACTGGGTTGCTGTCCCTTCTTTTCAGGGTGTATTTCTACCCCAGCACTCTCACACATTGCTTGGGTTGCTGTTTCTTCCCTCTGGACAACAGTGTTTCTGGTGTCCAGTTCCAGACTGTAGCTGCTGTTGTCTTGCCCATTTGGACAATCTACTTCTTTTTTGACAGGCTTTGCATCACTCTCCTCCTGGATCTTCAGCAGTTCTGAGGCTGTCTGGAACAAGTTGGATTTCTTTGGAAATCCTGCTCCCACACGCTTGGGTTTGAACTAGGGAAAAAGGAGGAAGAAGAAAGTTTGGATGTGATATCCCTATGTGCAGAACCCTGAAAGGAGCTAGGTTTCTGCACACAATACACCACTCTGGACAGCTGTAAGGTGAGGGAGGCTCTAAATCTGACTTATCATCACACCCATCAACTGAGACATGAGGGAAATGCATTAGGTTAAATTCCCAGGCTGGTACTAAGGAAACAGCCATCCTTGGCTAGAGCAAGATAAGAAAGAACTTATTTAATCTATGGCCTGCACATAGATTATGTTCACTAATAGCAACCAGTATGACAGACAGACAGGGAAAAGCAATTACAACAGAAATATACAGCTATGGCCACAGAAAGGATGTAAGATAAATTAATAAAAAAGCAGAAAGACAAAACACACCATTCCCTCCTGTCTATCCCATCAGTACTCACTGAATAAACCTGGGATGCAGGGAGGAAGTCCTGTTCTGTTGGAGACTCAGATTTGGTTTCCAAACTGCTGTTGCCACCAGTTCCAGACCCAAAAACTGAGAACAACTCTCCTTGTTTGGAGGCTTTGTTGATTTCTGCTACCTGAAAAGAGAATGGAAATATCCTCCAATGGCCAGAAATCTTTATGCATTCCTGCCTTTTTACATACTAAGAGCCACAGTGGCAAAACAAACATCTCCCCTGGAGAGGTGCCTGCCTCAAGAACAGAAATATCTTCAGAGAGACTGATGGCAACCAGGTAACCTAAACCAAGGCTTCTCTAGTGTCAGCAGCAGCCTGGGGAATTCCCCATTCCCTTTACTGCTAGAACAAATCTAGATAAGCTTGCACTGGAATGTAGGTTTCCAGAGCCTG